GCTTGAGGTAGCCGTCTAATTTGCTCGAGTTTGAGACCCATAATTAAAAGATGTAACTTTCAGTTGAGTTGATCATCAATTGCATTGTTTACAATTCGATTAATAACAAGCAAACCTCTGCGGGCCCATATTCTTCAAAGCGATGGTGATTTCCTTTTCTGAAGCATTCTTTTCTTGAAGTTCGATCATCAATTCTTCAACCAAGAGCTTCTCTTCATTCACGTCCAACTCTCATGACCCGTTGAGCGTCTCACCCATGCTAAATGACTTTTCTAGAGATAATTCCACTCATATTGCCACATACATATGCTGGAAATAAAGGATTAAATAAGATACAACGCTGATGTAGAATTCTTTTTGAACAAGTGACAGTAAAATTGAACCTCAATGGAATATATTCATTTATTTTTTTTAAAAAGCCACGTCATCACCACGTAGGATAGAGAAAATAATAATAAAAATCATGTCAACCTTTTCCGTTAATCAAGTTGGACGGAATTAATGGAAGTACTAGATTGTACCAATTTTATAAGTTTTAAAACTTAATTGCACTTTCTGAAAGTTTTAGAACTCAATTTTACTTTCGTGATAGATTTTAGAGCTTTCAGTGCACTTATCCTAATACGCTGTCAAGTTTCATTAGTGGAATTTTCTTTTGTTACAAGTCAATAATAGCCAACTTCACATTTAAGGAGCCTAAGTGAAGGGAGAGGGACCATGGTCTTGGCTTTGGATTGACTATCTTTTCACCCAGTATAATGCAAGACCTTGCCGCACCGTGGAATTTATCGAGCAAAATCTGATTGTCAATAGGAGAAGACTTTGATTTAATGGCCAGGATTAGTTTGCTGTCTCCCAATCAATGATGGTGAGAAGTATCAAAAAAGTCTTAAACCTATTACATTTGTACCAATTTAGTCATTAACCTTTCAAGTAGACTAATTTAATCCTAAACATTTTAATATTGATATAAATTGAGTAAATCCGTTCAATTTAGGCTAAAAATTGCGGATGTGAACACTAGCCATCCCACATGACATGATTAACGCTGTCATAGATATTTTTTAAAACATTTTTCAATTTTTTTATTAATCTTTTCTTTTTTTTCTTCTCTTTTCCTTTTTTTCTTTACTTTTCCTTTTTCCTTATTTACCTCCGCTAGTGGCCAGCCTCCATGATGGCCGGCGAAGGTTGCCGGCAAGGCAAGGGGCGAGGCCGGCCCTAGCTGGCCTTTGGCGAGGGCCAACAAGGGTTGGGCTCCTCATGAGGGGACCTCGCCCAGCCCTTACCGGACGAATTGATCCGGAGATAGTTTCATTTGACCTTGAAAAGGAAGAGTTCTCTGTACTACGGCCCTCGAAGTCAAAGGTGCTGGGAGCGAAACAGGGTTGTTTGAGGTGAGAGGATCGCTGGCCAGTAAATCATTCCTTGGCGAGACATATTGAGGTTTGGGTCCGAGCAGCAGCAAGTGGATGAAGAGATACGAGATTCACATCGTAGCATTTCCAGAGAATTTCGCGGACTGTGTGACGCTGAGGAGGGTGAGATGTACGGGTTAGATCGACATTGAGATGATGCTAGCGAATTTCACGGGCAGGCATCGTTTCTCCTTCTATAATCCCAAGCAGAGGAGGTCTTCTTGGGGAATCAACTTCGAGCACATCCCTCATGTTCGTCTCCTTCATATCTTTTCCTTCACGCCTAGCCTTTGGCAAGGGTGGGACAGGGCCGCCCTTCGCCAAATCCGGCCCCTCGCCCAGCCCTCACGGGCATCGACCTCGCCTGTGGTCGGCGAGGGCGTCCACCCTCGCCCTCGCCGGTCATCAAGCAGACTAATGACTGGCAGAGGGAAATAAGGAAAAATGAAAAAAAAAAAGAAAAAAAAAAAAGAAAAGAACGAAAAGAGAAGAAAAAAATGAAAAGGAAGAAAGAGAAGAAAAAATTAATAAAGTTTCGAAAAAATATTTAAAATACCTTGTAGAAATTCTATCCGGACTTTATTTTCGTTCAGTTTCTTGCTGTCATAAAATTATTCTCAATAGCTTAAGCCAGCTTACAAATACAGCTGAGGTCACACTATGTAACGAAACTGAGATATGGGTCTATCTACTTTCCTTTATCTCCTGTTCTTATTAATTCTTGTCCAAGAACTTGTATAACTTGCTGTCCTCTCTTGACTTCCGCATGCTAAGCATTGAAGAGACGTTTGTTTTTGCTGGACTATAGCTCAATATTAGTTCTCCTATTCCTCTCAACATGGGTAGACATTGAAGTGGATCTTTGGGGTTCCGACGGGTACTGGATGTTCATGTGGGAACATAATCGCAATTCAGAAGAGAATCAGTCATAAAGGATTATGTCCTCAAGACATATCCGCAACAAGAAGAAAAAAAACCTATTAGCTAAGCTGCACTGGAGTTCATTGCTGCTTACTCATCTTTTCGCATCATAAGGGTTTGGAGATGTAGATCTATCGACAAGAGAATCCAAACGTGTGAGTTGAATATGAAATGGGAAGGTGGATTGTTTTTCTGATCAGAAAATGAAGTTGGCATTATGAACTTTTCCGACTACCGATGTATAATACACTCATAGGGTATGAAAACATGACGTAAAGGCTATGTATGGCAAAATGGAGCATTCAAGTCAAGAGTGTGCTGAGCTGCTTTTTGTAGGATGAAGTAATTGCAAATGAAAAGGTACCGGTTGCGGAGGATTGGGGAAACTGTCTTGCCGAGTGCCGTCTCCTGCATCAAAGTTCTTGTGTCAGCGTCGTCTCTTCGAAACTTTGATGATTACCACAGACTCTATGAATAATTTCCTGACAAATGATGCAGAAGTCTCTATGTTTTATGGATATGTCTTCAGAAAAAGAAGGTATTAGTACGTCAGTAGTAGCATTTGAAGTTCTTTTGATCGAATAAGTTGAACACATGCAAATGATGAGCAGGATATCAGCTAGTTCTGTAACTCGTGACCTTTCAACGTCTAACAGGACAATCTTGTTCCGTGTAATGTGCATAATGGTAGCTAAATCAGAAAAAAGGGTCACATACAATGTTCGCCTATGGACATTTCGCCATTTATGCCGCTTGCTAGATTCTTGCCGACTCCATCACCTTCAGCTTTTGAAACCGAGAAAGTTCTTAAGCATGAGCCAACTCCAAATTTTTGGTCTTAATAAACCAAATGATAAATTATGTGAAGGGAAGCATGCCAGGTAAGATATATTGCATGTGGTGCTTCAGAGTTCTTATTTGTTGCGGAAGTCAAGCGATTGAACAATAAATTTGACAGAATAAGAAAATAAATCGGACACCAGATTTACGTGATTCGATCGTAGTGACCTACGTCCACGGGGAGAGTAGCATGGAATTCCACTATAGATCAAGCGATACAACAAAGATTACAACCATACTCGAGTCATTCAAACACTCTAAGTGTTTTCCAAGCTCCAATTACACCCAATAACTCACGCAGTGTTTAGCCCCACAATTCCTCACGAAATAATCTCTCAATCTTGCAAAAGAATTGTACACAAATCTTAACACAAGATTTAATCGCTATTAATACTTGAATTCTTGATATAATTCCACGAACAAAATCATGAAGATTGCCCACCGCCAAGCACTTGCACACAAGTGGCACTTCAAGAATAACTTCACGTATTTATCAACAACCCACGCCCAAAGTGCCCACTGAATATATTTATAGCCAAAAGAAGAACACCTTCAGAAGCCCATGTCAAGATGGATTGGGAAATAGGGGTGTGCAACTAGATCGGGTTTACCCACAAACCGGACCGGCTCACCCGAAAAACAGGTCCGGGTACCGGTTCTTGTTAGAACCGGTTCCCAAACCGGTTCCATTTTTTTGGAACCGGTTAGAACCGGTCCGGTTTCCGGTTCCAAGTAAAAACCGACCCGGACCGGTTTTAGAACCGGTTTTAAGATAATGTAAAAAAAAAAACCCTAAATGACGATCACGATACTCTACCTCTCTTCTCTCTTCGCTCTCTTCGCCGCTCCTCTGTCTCAGTTCTCTCTTCGCCGAAAGAACGCAATTATGCAACCGAGGAGGCTCCTCGTTCGCTTCGCCCGTCCGGCTCTCACCGATCCATGAGTCCTCCGTTCCCTCAGTCTCTCTTCTTCGTCTTTGTTGCAAGGTCAGATGGTTTCCAGCTCGAGCTCCGAATCTGTTCTCGTGTTGGGGAAATGTTCGAGTTCGAGTTTGAGGTTTTGCGTTTGAGTTTTAAGGGTTTTTCGCTGTGGGCTTGGGTTGGTGCAGAAGATTCTCTGAATTTTGATGATCAATGGAGGACTTGAGGGAAGAGACGCCATCTGATCTTGCGGAATCCGGCTTGTCTAAGTTTTTTTTTTTTGAAACTTTTATCTCTTGCTTCTTGGACTTCTAAGTTTGTTTAATGGTAGAATATAAGCGTTGGTTGCATACCTGATTTCAGTGGTTGGCCTCAACTCGAAACTCTATATGTTGCAAGCTCCTTAAAGATCAGTGATTTTTGCATATTTGAGTTGAGAACCCCCTTGAGTTAACCCGATATGTTCATCAAGAGTCCCCCTTTGTTCATTCTTGTTGTTCTTTTGGTTTAGATGAAGAACTTAAATTCACTAAAAAGAAATTTCGCCCTTTTATCCAATATAGAAAAGAAAAGAACTCGTGCTTGTTAGCATGCATATCGCTAACATTTTATGTTTGCTGCTTGTAATTTATGAATAGGAAGGGAATAATTCGTCACATATCAGTTTCTCATCGAAGACAAGAACATATATTATTTTGCTAGAAAAAAAATGAAACCAGAAAAAAGGAAAAAAAAAACAGGTTCTCAGGTAAACCCTGAAACCAGACCGGAAAAATAGGATCGGTTCCAAAACAGGGTCCAGGGAAAACAGGGTCGATTTCAGATTCCAAAAATTGGGAACCGATTATAACAGGGTTGGTTTCAGGTTCCAGGTCTGGACCCAACCCACCCTTGAACCGATCACCCCTATTGGAAAATCATGTTATTCGGTCAACTAGTCAAAGTTTGAACTTTCCTCTTTTGACTTTTCTTTGGCCGACTTCAAGTAGTGTTTCCTTCCTTTCTCTGACACAATTGGACTTTCCTTTTTTGCAGTGGGCAAAGACTCCAACTTCATTAGGAAACTCACGTCTCTTTTGCTTTGCTCGATTTCGAATGGCCGCAAAATATCCAATTAAGAATATTTAAATTTCGCTTTGGGCTCAAACTCGATACATATTTTCAACATTATTGCTAGTGATTGCTGACAAAGGCTTCCATGGTCTATGAACGTCTCACACGTCAATGTCTCTAAAACACAGGAACAGTGTCGAAAGTTTTATCACTACTTGTGATAAATAAGTTGGTGGCACGAGAAATGGCAGTTCTCCCTGCCATTTTCCATACTATTGTCGAAGCACGATAATTAGTTTGTCACAATGTGATATAATCTGGCACATTATGGAGTGTATCTGGAGTAATTTCAGATTTTCAAGAACTTAATTCTTCTTGATCAGCTGCAATCTGTTATACCCTTGCACATGGTAGATCAGAGGGTATGCATGCCCTTCCCATCCTTGACGCTACAAAACAAGGAAAAGCTAATTATATTGCACACCTGTAGAGCGCAAGAGAATCTGAGCTCAATTGCAAATGCTTCCTCAATCTTGTCATCTAGGAGACAGTTGACCTTATAAGTCAAGGAGCCCAAGTGATCCACAGTGTTTATGAAAGCTTTCGTCACATAATCTTTTAATGTGTTCACCACTCTACAATATTGTCGAGGCAATTTAACAGATGTGCAACAGGAAGAAATGCTCAACCCAGTACACGACAATGGAGTGAAAACCTATTTATCTCACAATTGTTTCTGATCATGTCTGTTGTAAGACAATTCAAAATAGTCAGCTGCCGAGTATAACTGCTTCCTAAGATCCTTCAGGTCCTGATTAGTGAAAAAGGCTATGATTAGCATGCATAACGAATCCGAACCTTTTGACCCTGATATTTGTTCAGGACGCAGACTAGATCACAAGGAATTTGATAATCTAATACGCGAAAAAGGTAGAGGAAAGTAACTTGTTCGTGAACACATATGGATATGAAAGTGGAAAATGGGAACATAAAGGAAAATTACATCAAATACCAGAAGAAGTATAGCAGTAGTTTTGTACTGAAGAAAGCTCCAGGTGTATTATGAAGTACCTTCAGGCTATCTAAAAAGTTCAAACTCTGTTTCGCGGAGAGCTCATCATAATTGGAAGCTTCCTGAGGAGCAGAAACTGAAGAAGGCAACTGGGAAGCATCCATCATACCGAAGTTTAAGAGTATCTTCACCTGTTACAACGAAGATGAAGCAATCAGATTCAAATTCACACCCTCGTGCATTGACTGTCATTATCCAATCCCAAGACACCATCTCGGCCTAGTTCTAATTTTCATTGTAACAAAGAGAATGTTTTCCTTCTCTATTCTCTTTCACCATCCAGCCAAATTATGAAGACGCACTTTCTTCTTTTTGCTGTTCTTCCCACAATCTTATCTCACCATTTCCTTCCCACAAAGCTGAGGCTATAATCCTGGAGATGTTTATTTTGCAAAACTCAGAGCTCTTCATGTGCTGATGACAACAGTTATTGCCAACGCTAGCAAACTTTTCTTCTTGTTTTGTCAATTCACTGATCACGTAGATCATTGCCAAACAGCAAGTCCAAAAAAGAAGAAGGAAAAAACAAGGAAGAAAGAATCTCACTAAGAGAGCAAAGAGCACATGCAATGATATGAATTTGGATCACTCAAGACTCTACGAAATTGCAAACCCCAGATTCATCGATTCTGCTCGGTCTTGAGAGCTTTATGCAGCAAAGATAGAAAGCGAAATCACACGTTCACAGAGCTCAATCTGGAGTTTAGGAAAAAATTAAGGGGAAAAGAAACTTCTGGACTGATGCTGGAGCGGATATCATCTTTTCGACTTAATTAATCAATCGAGAATAGAAATCCAGGCAGCGAAAGCCAAAATCCTCTCACATAATATTTACCTCCTTGACATATACCGCAAGTTCTTGGTCGCAGGAGAAGAGCAACATTTGCCGTGCGTCACTAATCGACATATAATCATATGCTCTCTGACTACATCCAGCAATTTCACTGCTGCTGTTGCTCAAAGGGAAAGAGGTAATGTAAGCGCACATGAAAGAATCTTTTAAGTATATATCTTGCAGCCTTACATGTAGGAGACGGGGATACTGATGACAAAAAAAAATGTAGGAGACTGGGGCGTGCAAAATGCACTGTTGTATTTCTCGTCATCGTTTATCTATATATATATACACAGAGAAATCGATTGCACGAGCAGAAAGCGACACGCCGATTTCCAGATTTATGTTACCCCCAGTTTCCGCTCGCATGCGCATTTCGTCAAACATCTGACCAGCACTATGGGAAATGATCGGATCTCCTCTCCCCCCTCCCCTCCAATGGCAGCAGCTTTCACAGATGGCGCCCTTCAAGACCACGAGCTATCGACTCTTATTCCCTTCATGTATGCCTCCCTCCCACCATCCAGCGTCTTCTGGAGAAGCGTCGAATTCGCTCCGCCTCTCCTCACGGCGCTCCCGAAAACTTCGCAGTCTTCCCATGAGCAAAAGTCCCCGAGCCATCTCCAGAGCGAGCGAAACAAACAGAGTCCCCCAACTGATTGAAGTCCACGAGGATGAGAGGGGGAAATGAAACGAACAATGATTTGTGATAAAAAAGAAAAAGAAAAAGAGAAGACGGCATGGAATAATTTATTTAAGGATTGCCGTAATAAATAGTCGGTTCTCGCTAATAATAATACCAGATTGGATATTTATACTCTTATATCAATTTTATAAAGCATTATTGCGATATTAATAATTAAAGTTTTCCATTTTCCGCATCTGCTGTTATCTTTTGTGCGGGGGGGAGGGGTTGAGGCCCACCCCCGACAACACACCACCCCATTTTCTCCGCAACACACACCCCACTCTCTCTCTCTCTCTCTCTCTCTCTCTCCGGGCGGCTGGGGCCCCCCGTGACCACCCACATCTCATATCTCTCTCTCACCACCGTCAAAGACGACGGCTCTTCCAATACTCACGATCAACTTCTTCAGAACCGTCATGGGTGTGGACTCCTTCAAGTTCAGGTAACGTCTTCAATTTGGGACGGGCCGATCCCTAATCGAGAAAGATGAGGCATGGCTCCTTCAGCCACTAGGGGTGTGCAACCGGACCGGGTTTACCCGGAAACCGGACCTACCCACCCGAAAACAGGTCCGGGTACTGGTTCTTGTTAGAACTGGTTTGGGAACCGGTTCCATTTTTTTGGAATCGGTTAAAACCGGTCCGGTTTCCGGTTCCAAGTAAAAACCGACCCGGACCTGTTTTAGAACCGATTTTAAGATAATGTAAAAAAAAAAAACCCCTAAATGATGATCACGTTACCCTACCTCTCTTCTCTCTTTGCCGCTCCTCGTCTCGCTTCTCTCTTCGCCGCAAGAACGCAATTACGCATGGCCGAGGAGGCTCTGGTTCGCTTCGCTCCAGGCTCTCACCAATCCGTGAGTCCTCCGTTCCCTCATTCTCTCTTCTTCATCTTTGTTGCAAGGTCAAATGGTTTTGAGCTCGAGCTCTGAATCTGTTCTCGTGTTGGGGAAATGTTCGAGTTCGAGTTTGAGGTTTTGCGTTCGAGTTTTAGGGGTTTTTCGCCACGGGCTTGGGTTGGTGTAGAAGATTCTCTGAATTTTGATGATCAGTGGAGGACTTGAGGGAAGAGACGCCATCTGATCTTGCGGAATCTGGCTTGTCTAAGTTTTTTTTTTTAAAAACTTTTATCTCTTGCTTCTTGGACTTCTGAGTTTGTTTAATGGTAGAATATAAGCGTTGGTTGCATGCCTGATTTCAGTGGTTGGCCTCAACTCAAAACTCTATATGTTGCAAGCTCCTTAAAGATCACGGATGTCCAATATAGAAAAGAAAAGAAATTTCTTTTGGTTTAGATGAAGAACTTAAATTCACTAAAAAGAAATTTCGCCCTTTTATCCAATATAGAAAAGAAAAGAACTCGAGCTTGTTAGCATGCAGATCGTTAACATTTTATGCTTGCTACTTGTAATTTATGAATAGGAAGGGAATAATTCATCACATATCAGTTTAGCATCGTAGATAAGAACAGCGATATTTGATCCTAGAATATAGTTTAGCATCGTAGACAAGAAAAAGTTTGCAATTGCACCAATAAGTCAAAGAATGGTCCATCTGTGTAGTTATATGTTGTAAGCGCCTGTTGAATTTACTACCAAATCTTGCGTAGTTGGATGATTCAACTTCAGCGAGTCTTTATCAGTTCGTACTCAAGATTATGAGTTCAATCATGCAGAAGCAACTCAGCAATGGAACCACAGTGTCTAATGGCCTCCTAGTTCTAGGATAGTCCTTGGACCAAAAAATTGGCAAGTTCTTTAAGTCATGGTCAATCACCTTTTAAAAAAAATCAGGTTCTCGGGTAGACCCTGAAACCGGACCGGAAAAATAGGGTCGGTTCCAAAACAGGGTCCAGGGTAAATAGGGTCGGTTTCAGGTTCAAAAAATTAGGAACCGATTATAACAGGGTTGGTTTCAGGTTCCAGGTCTGGACCCAACCCACCCTGGAACCGATCACTCCTGTCAGCCACCCTCCACTCCTCCAAATTTGGCAGCTCATCAAGAACTAAATGCTTGAGTTGAGGAAAGCCTCCTGCAGAGCAAACCATTCCCTTTCCCACAAAAGCATCCCATAGTAGGAGAACAACCAAGTGATGCAATTTCTCCAATATTGGCATCGGATCTTCTTCCATTTTGGACCCCAGTAAGACCAGCTTCCTCAATTGCTGGGGCAGATTCTTATGTTCAGGTAACTTCTCTATTTTTCCAATTATGCACAGTTTACATGGATGGGAATAGCTCGATATTTTACTCAATTCATCTTCCGTGTATGAATCATAAAGGTCATGGGACAAGAAATAAAAAGATGAGAATTGAAGATTTTTCAAAACGAATTTATCAAGTTGTGGAAATATCTCAAAATTGTCATGTGGCCCCCTAATGATGGCAAAAGTCAATTTTCGCACATTGGGCAATTTGCCTACATCATTCACATCATTGTTTTCCAAACAAAAGTTTCTTAATATCCATAGATTCTTTAAAGTGTCTAACTGCAATTTCTTCCGGAAAAAATGAAAGTCCACCTTGACGACAAATAAGATGGGAAGACGGAGATACCTCAACCTTCTTATCTTCCACAACACATTTGGCATGGTTACCTCATTATTTGATCGCATACATAGGTCTAAGAATTCCATAGATAGGAGGTTCCCCATAGATTGCAGTAAGCCCATAAATTTACTTCCTACTAAGCTTAAGAATCTTAAATGGACTAGGTCTCCCACTGATTCGGGTAATTTTCCATTTATCAAAAAAGATTCTCTAACTTCAAAACTCTAAGAAACTTACAATTGATGAAAACAGGTTGATATTGCTTCCACTTCCCTCCGGCAGATCCAAAGAATATGAGAGTTCGAAGGTTGAGCATAGTCTTTCCTATTGGTTTTATGCTCAGAATCATGTTTCCTTTGTCACTCATGCGCAAATTGAGAGAAAGCCTTCATGTTTTGCAAGTTGAATCTATTTTTATTGTCATCGAAGAAGAACAACCCTCCGTCTCATTGTCCTTCTGAATGTTAAGAATGGTTAGAAAACTCTCTTGCATAGCCTTAGAGATGCATAAGTCTCACATCAGGTCGTGGAGGTGGCAAGTTTTCATCTTTCCGCTCAAGTTGAATCGTACTTGAACCATCCCCTTGTTAACCAACTCCGTTAAACATTGCTCTGCTACATCTTCCACTAGAATTTCTCTCTCTTCCTCATATCCATTTGGCGACATAAAGCCTTCAACAATCCACATGTGAAAAATCTTCGTTGCAGGGATTTCTGCATCCTATGGAAAGCTACCCAAATAGAGGAAGCATGACTTTTTTTCTATTCAAAAACCCTAGGCTTGCTCATTGATCTCTCTCTCTCCTCGAAGCAAAGAAGGAAGAAGATATCATAGCTGAATCTGACTACCTGTCTTTAGTTCACGTGGTTAACAGCTCAGATCAAGGTAATTGGGAAGCACGTGCTCTTATGGTGGAAGCTCGCAGGGTCACGAGGCGATTCAAGAACATTTCTCTAGCCTATTGCACAAGAGAGTTCAATAGTGTGGTAGACTGGATTTGTAAGGCTTATCGACTAAAAAATTTATCTTCAAATTGGATAGTCCATCCCCCCAACCTCTTTGGGATCTACTTTGTTTTGATGCCCTTGACGTGGGTTTTGATGTTTTAAGTACTTTCAGATTCAATAAAATTTTGTTTGAACAAAAAAGTCACAGCAATTTTCCCTCTAAATGTGGCTATGAAGACATGAGATCTTGTGTTCCGAGATAGATTAAGTTTTTAATCATCACAACTTTCCTGATGCACAAATCCTGCTCTCCTCATTTGATCTGCTTGAAGAATATCACACATCAAATCAAATAACTTCTGTGTCGTGATTCCTTGACATTTCTTAAATCACTATATCTCCATGTTGCTACATGACAAGGCATAAAATTTCATTCTTTATGCGTCTGGTATGGGGCGCAAGGTAATTGGACAAGGGACACTTTCCTCACAAAACATTAACAACAAGAACACAGACTGAAATAATCTTCATTAAAGAAAAATCTGACATGAGTTTCCTATGCGGTGTAGTCCAAGTCAATATTGCAAGATGGCATCCGAATACCAACAGTCAAGAGTAAGCACAAGCCCACGGACGGTGCGATGACTATTTCCAACCTACTAAACTAAAACTTAAATTAAACCGGACACGAGCAACCCTAGTTGGCCTATTCCTACGTCAATGCCTTGCAACTCTTTGACCGATGAAGATAGTAGATGTCACCAAGTGTGCATAGAGTCAATTCTACTATAACAACAGGTCAAACCTAATTGTATCTAGGTCTACTCGTGGGGTTAGATTGGTTAAGTCCATCTCCATGTGAAAACACTAATTTCGATATCTGCTTCTTCCAAGCAGGCAAGGCCAGGAAAATATCCTATGATCAAATACAAAATTGGCAATCTTCCATGAGCAAGTCGCGAGTCATCTCGTCTCGACGGCGAGCGAAACGGACAGATTCCCCACCATTGAAGTCCGCAAGGAAGATTGGGAAAAGGAAACGAAACAGAATGGGCAAAATTTGCGTAATGGATATGGAATTTATGATAATGAAATGCGTGATGTGAGCTTCGAAACGATTACGCACAAATGGCTGGAAATGAGTGCGCATGGAATGCATTCCGGAATAAAAATTCTGTTCCGGAATTCCGGAACAAAATGGCATTTGTTAAAAAATTTCCGGAATTCATTCTGGAGCGATTTTTGCATTCTGGAATAAAAATGCGTTTGTTAAAAATACTTGATTCCAGAATGCATTATTGATTCCAGAATGAGTTTTTGGCAAGAAAAAGAGAAGCTACTTTTTGTAGCTTCTTGATTCCGGAATGCATTCTCCCTATTTTCTCACAATTTTTTTTTTCAGAAAATGCATAAAAATTGAAAAATTCTAGAAAAATTCATAAAAATTTCCAGAAAATAAAAAAAGTCAGATTTCGGGAAAATATGAAATTTGGTGAATTTTTTTTTTAAAAATAAAAAAAAATCAAAAATTTCAAAACTTCACAGAATAGCTTAAAGCACATGTGGCCACCCACTTTGAGTGAAATTTAAATTTTTTGAGGTGCCCAAAAAAAATCAAAAAATTTAAAACTTCACAAAATGATTTAAAATACATGTGGCCACCTACTTTGAGTGAAATTTAAATTTTTTGAGGTGCCAAAAAAAAAGAAAAATAATAAAAAAATAAAAATTTTCAAAACTTCACAAAATGGCTTAAAATACCTGTGGCTACCCACTTTGAGTGAAATTTAAATTTTTTGAGGTGCCCAAAAAAATAAAAAAAAAACAAAAAATTTCAAAACTTTACAGAATGGCTTAGAATATCTGTAGCCACCCACTTTGAGTAAAATTTAAATTTTTTGAGGTGCCCAAAAAAATAAAAAAATTCAAAACTTCACAAAATGGTTTAGAATACCTGTGGTCACTCACTTTGAGTGAAATTTAAATTTTTTTAGGTGCCCAAAAAAAATTAAAAAAAATCAAAACTTTCAAAAATTTACAAAATGGCTTATAATACATGTGGCCACCCACTTTGAGTAAAATTTAAATTTTTTTAGGTGCAAAAAAAATCAACAAATCAAAACAGATTTCTGCACTAGAAATTAATTTCTGGAGCAGAATTAGTCATGTTTTACCAAACAGATTTCTCCTCCAGAAATCAATTTCTGGCAAGAATTCCAGAAATCAATTTCTGGCAAGAATTTGATTTCTGGAGCAGAATGGTTACCATTCGCACCCTTAGCGTTCTAGCGTCCCCCGTCGAGCTAACTCGAGCGAAGTAATTCGATTTTTTTTTCGCTCAACCAAGGAATTTGAATTTTATTGCCAACTTAAAATTACGAAAAATACGAACTCTCTCTTTATTCTCCTTGTATCGCTCAAAAGGGAAAAGAAAGCAAAGAAAAGAAAAGAAGATTATGCAGATAACGCCAGGGTTCTAACTCAATAGAGAAGAGCAAGCGTGAAATAAAGAAATATACGGATGCAATTAGTGCGCGTACTGCTTAACTTAATGTTAGACAACAGTTATGATGTAAATTTAAGAATTTGGGATGGCTTGAACAAATGAATTAGCAAATACAATATTATTATCGTTAATATTTTTATACAATTTATTTATTTAACAAAGTAAGACAAAAATCTCTTTTCACGTAAAGGAGTTACGAACGAAGTAGAGAGACAATTAAGAGAGAGATAGAGAGAGGAGAGGAGAGGAGAGGGAGAATAGCACTCACATTGCCAACTACGCCAGCCAACAAGAAAGACCAGAAAGTTTGTAGGATTGCTCCATTTGCATAGACACAAGATTTGATCCAAAATGTCATATGATTACTGATTAGCCCATTACAAACTTTGCTGGAAAAAAATTATTATGGGGCTGCTTCATGCCAGAGTAGAAATGCCCTACTTGGCCTTTCAAATTAATTATTAGTCTACCAAGGCACTATCCCCAAGTCAGGGTGCCTCCAAAGCTCATCAAACATGTCTCCCGAACCATCATATGTGGAGATCCCTCTAGGCAAAATCTTCAATTTGGGACATCTGCTGATCCCCAATCGAGAAAGATGAGGCAAGGCTCCTTCAATGACCCTCCACTCCTCCAAATAGGACAAATCAGAAAGAACTAAATGCTTGAGTTGAGGAAAGCCTCCTGCAGAGCAAACCATTTTCTTTCCCACAAAAGCCCAAGAACCCAGCAGGAGAACAACCAAGTGATGCAATTTCTCCAATATCGGCATCGGATCTTCTTCGAGTATGGAATAGAGTAAGACTAGCTTCCTCAGTTGCTGGGGTAGATTCTTGTGCTCCGGTAACTTCTCTATTTTTCCATGTATGGACAACGTACAAGAATGGTGACAACTTGACATTTGACACAATTCACCTTCGGTGAATGAACGATCACGGCCTGAGAATCTAAAAGATGAGGATCGAAGATGTTTTAAAGTGAATTCAGCAAGTTTTGGAATTATCTCCGACTCTTGACAACGAATAACAGTTAGTTTTTGCAGATTGGTCAGTTTACCTACATTGTTCACATCACAGTTATCCGGACAAAAGTTTCTCAATGTCCGTAGATTCTTCAAAGTGTCCAACCGCAACTTCTTCTGATCCCCATTGGATTTTTTCTTGACGTCAAACAGGATGGGAAGGCGGAGACCCCTCAAATTTGTCATCTTCCGCAACACATTTGGCACAATGGATTTCTCCTGGACTGCAAACATGATGGGAAGTTGGAGGCACCTCAACCTTATCATCTTCCACAACACATTTGGCACAATTACCGTATCACATGATACAAAATGCAGGTTCAAGAATTCCATGCATACAAGGTTTCCCAAAGATTGAGGCAAGCCCTTGAACCAACTTCCTGCAAAACTTAAGAATCTCAAATGGACTAGGTCTCCCACTGATTTAGGTAAATTTCCTTTCATCTTTGGAAGGCGCTCCAGCTTTAGAACTCTAAGGAACTTACAGTTGATGAAAATAGGTTGAAATTGCTTCCACTCATTATTGACATGTCCGAAGAACATGAGAGTTCGAAGGTGGAGCATAGTCCTTTCCATTGATTTTATGCTCGGAATCATGTTTCCTTTAGCACTCACATGCATATTGAGAGAAAGCCTTCGTGTTTTGCAAGTTGACTCGACTTTTATTGCCATCGAAGAAGTACAATCCTCCGGCTTGTTGTCTTGGTGAATGTTAAGAATGCTTAGAAAACTCTCCTGCGTGGCCTTGGAGACGCATAAGTCTCGCATGAGGTCGTGGAGGTGGCATGTTTTGATCTTTCCACTCAAGTTGAATCGTACTTGAACCATCCCCCTCTTAACCAACTCCGTTAAATGTTGCTCTGCTACATGTTCCACCGGAATTTCTCTCTCTTTGTCATTCAGCAACACAAAGCCTTCAGCAATCCACATGTGAAGAACCTTCCTTACAGGGATTTCTGCATCCTCCAGAAAGCTACCCAAATAGAGGAAGCATGACTTTAGATGCCATGGTAGATCGTCATAGCTTAAGGCTAACACTTTTGATACATCACTCATGTCACTAAAATGCAAATTGATCTTTTCGTAAACCGTTTCCCACTCGTTGACAGCCAAAAGTCCACCAAGCACAGAGACAGCCAAGGGTAATCCTCCACACTTCTTAAGGAGTTCATATCCTAACCTCTCCATGTCGTCAGTGTTTACTGCACAATATCAAGCAATAAATTGCAACTCAACAATCAGAGAAAGATGTAACTATCATAAGAAGACAACTTCAAGGACGGATATCTGGTTTTAGATATATAAATAAGATGTTATAGTTCTTTATATTTCGTGGTTCATTCATGCTTTTGTAAGGGGAAAGACTGTAGGGACCACGGCAAAGCTCCTATATATGCCTCCATCTATGCTTGAAAGATCAAGAACCCTAAATTAATGAATAGAATGTATTGTCTTTCTTACTATTGGCTTGAAATACGTGACTCAAGCAAATGTATAACAACACTAATCTTGCTTGATGAAGAAAAATGAAAGCAACACAGGGATAACTCGAGTGTGCTAGTAGTCTCCCCTGACTTGAGTGTGCTAGTAATCTCCTTCACACATTCTAGTGAAATCTTCATTTTGCCGCTCTATTTTGTCGCATAAAGAGTCACGATTTTCCTAACAATCTCAAATCTTATTATTAAGCCAACTATTTGCAAATGCATAAAAGGTGGACCTGAGATGAAGCCTATGGAAGAGGTAACATAGCTAGGTTTCACATTATTTCATAAATCCTATCAAAACCGCTTATTATGTTGGCCATATAAAAGCCTCTTCGATAGTCATCCTCATTAGAGGAAGGAGGAGCAAAGTTGTGGATGTTTGTTTAGAGGTACAATTGCTAGCTATGAAGAAACAAAAGAGGCATATCATTTCCCAAATATCAATATTTTGATGCCTATTACTCCATATATCAATCATTCCAACTCCAGTACAAGCTATCAAGTTATAAATTGTTAAACCTTCCAAGAGACCAGATTGAATAATGAAGCACCTTGTCTTTGTCCCTCTACCTCTGACTGTATTGTGATACCTTCTACAGCTTGCCCCACAGTAATACCTTCACCGACTTTTGGTCCAACAGAAGAAAGTCCAACAGCTAACCCTGTGGAAGCGCCATAAATCGAAATCAACGAGCTTTATAATATCTTGAAGCTACTATATGGTAGGATAATATCCTTAGAGAAGCCTTACCTTTCGTTTTAGGAAACGCTCTCTTCATCAGCAACTCCCAGCTCTCCTTGTCCGATAAGCACTGAGGTTCATGAAAAAAACCTTGAGGATCAATATACTCCGCTACTTCTCTATTGCGGGTCGTTATCACTAGCTTGCTTCTCGTGTTCTTGACTGGGAATGCGGCTCGAAGACTGTCCCATGCCCGTTTGGTCCAAATATCATCAAGAACCACAATACATCTCTTCTCTTGTTGGATCTTGTATAGAGCTTTAAACAATTCTTGATCTATCATGTTCATAACCCTCTCTCTTTGATGAGATATCAAATTAACAAGAATTTCCACCAATATATCTTTCACGTTGTATTCTTGGGATATGTAAGACCAAGCGAAACAATCAAAATTCGTCTTCACTTTGTCAAGAGCGAGGACTTGCCTAGCGAGTGAGGTTTTACCCAAACCACCCATTCCCCATATAAAAATAACTCTCTGCTCTTTTCCATCCTTCAACAACTCTTTCACCAACTCCTTAATATTGTCTTCCCTCCCAACAAAATCCTCCTCAAAATGGGCGTAAGTCTGTTTCGGCGTGGAAGCTTTCGCGTGTTCGCGTTCCCCTTCCTTCGCAGATTGTATGCCATACTTTTGCATCCTGCTTACAATATCGGAAATTCTGGATTTTAAGCCCCCAATCTCTGTCCCCACCACATAAGTATGCACGCACATGCATTTTGCCATGAAGCAAGCATACGCTTTGATGATGTTTCGTCCCTTCTTCGGCGCGACTCTGAGGATGTATCGCTCGATGACGTCCTCGGCATCATAGGCAACGTCTCGGAGTTGCGTGACCCATTCTCCGACAGCTTCGCCGTGCTCTCGTCTCCTGTCCGCATCCCTCAGCAAGCACTGGATCAGGTTCAGCTCCATTTTCAAGTCCCCGACCTTGCCCTCCACGCCCCACAAGAATTTGGCCTCGTCGATGAGCAGCTTTCCTATTGTCTGCCCCACGGACGAAACAACCGACTCAGCCATTGGTATTGTACTACTTGAGAATGATCAGTGGAGATTTCGATAGAGAATGACTTGAGAATTCACTTATCATGCGTTACCAAGCTCTGAACACATATAGGCCTGCGAGCTGCAAAGAAGAGTGGAAAGGAATAAGTTCTCAGAAAGTTGCGTATTGCATTGATAATCACATATTCTATAACCACCGACACAAGAAAAGCACCCCAAGAAGAAAATAATGGAGTAATCTTCCAAGAGATTATCATCGGTGTGCAAATAAGTCATCACTTATGATAAGCAAAAAATCTCAAGACCAGCATTGGTTGTCACGCCCCGAACCCCATCGAGCTCACGACATCCCGCTCCGGTCGAAATGATGCGACGTCCCAGGAACGTCGCCGACCCAACCCAAACATCAGAGCCACATGCGGAAGTAAATATAAAAACCCCGGATAGAAAGATGACGACGACGGGGTAGAACACCATAGGAATCAAACAACAACATCTTCATACAGCACCAAATATACAAACATCGTATTACAAACATAAATACAGACGAACATCCTCCGCCACCGTTTTAACAAAAGTTCAGGGGTTTGGTTATCTTAACTTCACTATCGGATAACCCAAGTTAAACAACCCCTAAAATATCCTAGGGAAAGCCTATTGGTCGCCTTCCTTTCTGCTCCTGATTCTCTGGGCTTGAGCCTCCGGACACTCACCTGCAATTCCACCGAGCACCAAAGGTGGTTCCTCGAACTTCCAAAAAGAGGAGGCGAACTTCCCGGGTCTAAGGTTGGGGGTCTGAAATTGTGGATTATACAACTATGAGACGAATCTCAATAAGTGTACAACCCCAAACCACACGTAGGCACTCACGTACCGCCAGACGAAAACACGCAGAACACACACAATCAACCAAACTAACAACCACACACGACCCTACCTGGAATCCATCATGCACGTTCCTGCACGTTAGACAATAACACAGCCAATACACCACAGAGATGAATCACAGTCACGCACGTGCCTCGATTATAAAGCAAAACCTACTTGGATACGTCCCATACCGTGCCTAGCAGTATTTTACCTCATAATCGAGCACCATAGCAATCGATACAAACACACTCGCACACTGACCCACACCACGCATCCCTTTTCCGAATTTCGCACCTCAAGCCAATTCCCGCTCATTCTCAACTCTTCCACCACTACCGCGCACGCGTAAAACGCATCAGGCCAACGGTCTTCTGACCTCGTCAGGCATCGTCACCTCGTCGGGCCGGGCATCGTCACCTCGTCAGGGACGGCATCGTCCCGCGTAAACGAACACGCCTCGGGACGGAATCCTACTTCTCCCTTTCCTTAATTACCGTGCCCGCGTAAAACGCATCAGGCCAACGGTCTTCTGACCTCGTCAGGCATCGACACCCCGTCGGGCCGGGTATCGTCACCTCGTCAGGGACAGCATCGTCCCGTGTAAACGAACACTCCTCAGGACGGATCCTTTACCACAAATCCTACATTTCCATACCCTCGTTCCACTCAAACCACACTTACACACGGCCAAAAAACGCACGGCCAAACATACACACCTCACACACACATTTCACAATTTCACATCCTTGTCACACGAACACGCCACCCAATCACACATTGTTGGCACGCGAATTCAATACGCGAATGCACTATCACACCACCACACCTCATGGCCAAACACACACGGCATATCACCAATCCACATTCGGCCCGACAATCACTCGAAAATCAGCCAATAAACACAATTCACACAACCACATACCAAATTTCCATTCAAAGCACAATCTCGCCAATCAATTGCATAATTCAACCCCCAATCCAGCCACAACATCACAGCCCTACCCGAGCTTCCTAAACCTCAAATTTTCATCGCCAATTCAGTCCACAACCACCAAACAATCAGCCACTCATTCAGTCCCAAAACAGCCATAAAAATTGCCTAAACCGGGTCCTAAACGAGCCTAGAAATACCCGAGGTCCTAGGTAGTTTTTGGGGGAGACACTTACCTAATAAAAACAGGGCAAGCTGGCTGGATGGTGGCCGGAACAGAGCAGCGGCGACGGCGGCGTCGCCGACGGAGACGTACGGTCGGCGACGTACGGACGCCGTACGGACGGCGATGTACGCGCGACGTATGAACAGCTAAAGCGTCACGGCGGCAGCAGCTCGGCTGTTCAAGCTCTGGTGCGGCGGCGGCGAGCTCCGGCGTACGGACGGCGGCCGAGAAGGAGGAAGAGGGAGAGAGAGGTTTCGAGGGAGAGGAGAGAGAGTGGTCTGGCCAGAATGAGAGAGGAGAGAGAATGCTGGTCAGACCAGTCAAATATAATGGGCTAATGGCGCCACGTGTCGCCGATCCGGAGAATTTGACCAATATACCCCTAATCTGACGGTTCTCGTTCGTCCATATCCAATAATTGAGGGGCAAAAGCGTCCAAGGTCCAATAATTGAGCTGATATTTCAGACCTGATTAGTCCAAAAATATCCCAAAATTCGGAACCCAAAAATACCCCAGGGGCAAAATGGTCATTTTTCCGGTCCCGGGGCGAAATTTCAATTTTTGGCTATACCAACCCCAAATGGGTGTGGCCACCATAATATGGCGTCAGAATCGCGAAAATAGCCTCTTAAGCCCTTGAAAATCGACTACAAAGTCCTGGGGATTAAAATAATATTATTTTTTACTTCCGAGCCAAAATTCCAATTTTTGACCGTAATAACTCTAAATGTGCGTGGCCACCCTAAAATGACATCGGCCGCGAAAAATAATCTCATACGGCCTCAAAATCAACGTCGGGGTCCAGAGGGGCAAAATCGTAATTTTTCCGGTCCCGAACCGAAATCCATTTTTTTGCAGAAATGGGTGGCCCCAAGGTTGGCCAAGCCAAAAACGTTATTGACCGCTCAAAATTGTCACTTTCAAAATTCTCGATTCCCGGGCCCGAATTCCAAGAAATGACTAAAATCGAACAATCGCGACTTTAGCTTATCTCTTGCTAACGAGTGGCTCGTTGGGATTACGCGCTCTCGACCCGTGACCGATACTAAGTCCAATCACGTTTAAGTTTACTTGTACCAAGGCGATCTCGATTGTCATGTAATTGTGAGGGTCTGTCGCTAATTCCCTTCGGACACGATCAATCAATTAGATCGGTCTCGGTTGGCTCAAAACATTCCCTCGTCAATCCTTATGGTCGAAGGTCGAACCAAGATCGAGTTCTTTGGTCGTGCGAACTCAGTCCCATAATGGCCTTACCCCTAAGGTTAGCATCCCGTGAATGCGCATTTCCGGGTGAGATCTCACTATAAGTGCATTGACCAAAATATTCATTTCTTAAATCCCGGGAAAAGGATCGAAAATTTAGTCTGTTACATTGGTTATATAATCGGTCACATTATCCCGCACAAAATGCACCGAACACACGCGCGAGAGTCATGAGAGGGAAGAAATTCCGCATTGGATGTCCAAAGCTAGTAAAAAAAAAAACAGATAATTCCTACTTGGCACATAATTCAATGGCTGAAACTTTTGCATAAATATGGGTCCAACAAAATTCTCGATGGACACTTTGGGATCTTTTCCCCCCCAACAGAATGTGATTAAACTTCTCAGGAGGGTTATGACAGAGACTTGAGAAGGTATAAAGGCTTTCTTGATTAAAGGACGAATCATGAGTTTGCTTGATGCCATCGTGCTAAATAAGATGCTCTCCTGTTAGTAGGCTTTCTTGTTTAGCTCGCGGTGTGAGTTAAAATCGAATCAGAAGTTTGTTTGAGAAAGTCACGCAAAGTGTGTGGTTGCGCAGTGACTTAGCCTTTGAACTCATATTAAATTATTCATCTCCCGCCATAACTATTTAAGCTCTCAAAGGCGGTGTCACTCTCGCAGCTCTCGAAATCCATGGAAGATCTTCTTCTTCTTCATCCCCCCAAATGCAGAAACCGCCCTGGATGATGCTTCCAAGAAGTGGAGCGTGTCTTCACGAAGCACCTGAAGCAGAAGAAGCGCAAGGTCTATCATGACGGCTGCCTCTCTCTCGCTTACTACTGATATCTGCTGTTCATGTCCCAGCTCAACTCAATCAGCGTACTTAGTTACCTGCGATTGGACATGATTCGGTTTGATTGGCTAGTCTATGTCGAAAATGCAGTGGCGATCGATTTGTTACCGTCTTTTCCTCGAATTTAGCTCACTCGATCGAACTGAATAGCATCCTTTCGGATTTTGATTCAGTCTGTCATCGAGGAATGTTCTGTACTTTGGTGTAGATTGTGAAGGCTGCAAACTCCGTCTCTTTCTCTACCTCACCCGTCCCCAGTTGTCAGTACGTCAACGTCCCTGCCTTCTCTCTCTCTCTCTCTCTCTCTCTCTCTCTCTCTCTCTCTCTCTCTCTCTCTCTCTCTGTAACTCCGAGTTACAGCTTCACAAGCTCAACGGAAGTGGAGGGAAATGGGAACGGAGCCGGTGAAGAAGGCGTCACCCGCATCCTCTTTTGCAGGCCCTACTTCCTGGCCTATCACACCAAAGTCTACTTGAGCCAATAACCATTTATCCAGGTTCAGACCCTATGTGATTCTGATTCCCCTACGGTATATGAAAGAAAATGCTTAATGTTCCACTAACTTGGATTGCAAGTGGTTGATGGAGCTAGCTGGATGTGTTTTGAGCGGAAAAAACGGATTTGATTGCATCGACTTGAGGTCTCGATGCCGGCCAATTATTTTCACATCCATTGGTAGAGCCAGATTTCAACTACCTATTGCACTGTAGTGATATCCCGTTTCTGCCTCTGATCGTTGTAAGATAGTAGAATTGTATACTTTGAGACACTGTAGTAAGCGATGAAATTTTTACTTGGCTAAATAAAAAACCAATCTGCTCTTGTCAGGGTCCTACTTAAACTTGCCGTAACGATCCCATTATCGCCAGCACATGCCTTTGGATAAATAACAGACTAGGAATAGAAAGCATGTTCAACTTTGCACATTCGGTTTGGTCTTACGTTTAAATGTAGATATATTCGCGTTAATCAGTGTGCTTGGGTTTATGGCAGTGTAAGGACTTACTGTTTCATATGTTTCCAAATTTTGTATCTAGCTGCACCTTGAAGATCATTCGTTCATCTGTTTTCCATTTTCGTAGGTCGATGAGGTGGCCCTTGATGATGTGCCCCATGTTATAGGAAACTACCATATTTGTGTGGTGAAGAACAAGCGCCTCGACTCAGATACTATAGCTTGAGTGAAACAGATGAAGCTTATAATGCAATATGGTGTCGGTCTGGAAGGTGATAATCTCCCTGAGTTTGGTTTATTTTGTCAGTATTATTACTATGTTTTGTTAGATCTTAATTGAATTTAGTACCCAACATTTACATCTTCATGAAGGTGTTGATATTGACGCTGCCACCAAAAATGGAATAAAAGTTGCCAGAATTTCAGGTGACATCACGGGAAATGCAGCATCATGTGCAGAGATGGCTATTTACCTGATGCTGGGTTTACTCCGAAAGCAGGTATGTTTGATCGCTGGAAAAATCTTGAGTAGCTGGCATGTGATTCATTCTTACACGCAGAGTCCACAGGTCAGGTTTGTCGTATGTCGTGCTTCTTTTTGTTCCTTCATAGGGAATGACAGGTTGAATAGTTTAGCTGTAACATTTTCTGGAATGTGAATAAATCCCCTATTGTTTTGCATTCTCATCCTTTTCTGGTCGAATTTCCAAGTGAATGTTTGATCATCAGCGCCAGTGTGTAGGTGTTTATATCTTCATTGATATTCTGGGAAACAGGAAAATCGTTCAAATTATACCCCAACTTCAAAACATAGCAAAACATCCTACATAAGGTCTACATCTGAATGAAAACGTTCATTTACAATTCAAGTTGACATAAGGCTTCACATAAGGATTCCTGTGTTTGCGTGACACCACTTGACATAAGGCTTCCCGTGCTTGCATTCGTCGGCTACATGCTGCGACTCCCGTCCATATTACTCAGAGGTGCATCCACTGAAGATGTCGCCATCATGGTCGAACTCCCATTATGCGACAATCCAGGAGTTGGAATCATCGTTGTCATTGAATTAGGATTCACTGGATTTCGATTATTAATAGATGGACGCTTGATCAAACTACGCAACCGGGACTCCAGTGTGCCCAAATTCATATACTCAGCCTACATAATTGTAATTTCAAAGTAGCAAAAGAATGTCAAGTCCTACTCACCAAAAAAAAGGAAATACTGATAATCACGAGAAAACACAGGTGAAACCAGACAAGAGAAATGAACAGATTATTGCCTTTCACAGATATAAAATGTAAAACACTATAAAAATACCCAATAAAGGACAATCATAAGCCGCTTTTTGTACTTTTACAAAGAAGAATAGGAGAGAAATGATGAGGATGGGAAGACCTTTGAGTGAGAAGATTTGAAGAGACCGTCTTCGAGGCGTATAACAATATCCTTCAGCTTCTGCATTTGAGAGTCATTAATTGGCTGTGCATGCCTCTGTGCTAATAGAACAAAGCTGAAAAGGACAGTAAAAAGTTCAATCAGCAAACAAGGACCAATGGAACTGTGGAAGCTAAAGCACAAGAACAAGTGCTCTAGATTAGATTACATCTTCTCTTGCATATAGCTCCGAGCTCTGAGAAGATCCGTGTCCACGCTGAACGCAGCATGAAGGGCACCAGTGCCTGCAGCTACTATATTCAGGACAACATTGCCATTTTGCTGGGATAACCCAGGCAACTGAGTGCCCGATTGACAAGATAAATGCCCCGATATATCTGCCTGTACAATCATCACATCAATCTACAAAAGCTCTCACTCTTCCTGTAATCATTTAAACTCGCAAAGGGTCTACACATGCCTGAGCTGGTGCTACATACATAAAAACTCTATTCACAGTGAACAACTACAACTAATACGGCCAGGCACCAATGCAGACAGCCATAACAAGAGTTTATAGAGAGCACATGCCTTTGGATTAATTCTGTTTGACATAAGGCTTCCCGTGTTTGCATTCGTTGGCTGCACGCTGCTACTCCCAGCTATATTACTCATAGGTGCATCCACTGAAGTTGTCGCCGTCATGGTCGAACTGCCATTATGCGACAATCCAGGACTTGGAATCATCGTTGTCATTGAGATAGGATTGACTGGATTTTGATTATTAGGAGATGGACGCTTGATCAAACTATGCAACCGGGACTCCAATGTGTCCAAATTCATATACTCATCCTACATAATTGTAATTTTAAAGTAGCAAAAGAATGGCAAGTCCTATCCACCAAAAAAAGAAAAGGATATACTGATAATCACGAGAAAAAACAGGTGAAACCAGACAAGAGAAATGAACAGATTATTGGCTTTCGCAAATATAAAATGTAAAACACCGAAAAAAACCCAATAAAGGGCAATCATCCGCCGCTTATTGTACTTTTACAACAAAGAAGAGGCAAGAAATGATGAGGATGGGAAGACCTTTGAGTGAGAAGATTTGAAGAGACCGTCTTCCAGGCATATAACAACATCCTTCAGCTTCTGCATTTGAGAGTCATTAATTGGCTGTGCATGCCTCTGTGCTAATAGAACAAAGCTGAAAAGGACAGTAAAAAGTTCAATCGGCAAACAAGGACCACTGGAACTGTGGAGGTTAAAGCACAAGAACAAGTGCTCCAGATTAGATTACATCTTCTCTTGCATATAGCTCCGAGCTCTGAGAAGATCCGTGTCCGCGCCAAACGCAGCAGGAGGGGCACCACCGCCTGCAGCTACCGTATTCGAGACAACATTGCCACTTTGCCGGGACACCCCAAGCAACTGAGGGCCCGATTGACTAGATACATGCCCCCACATATCTGCCTGTACATTCATCACATCAATCTACAAAAGCTCGAGCTTCACTCTTCCTGTAATCATTCAAACTCGCAAAGGTCTACGCATGCCCGAGCTGGTGCCCACATACAAAAAAAAAAAACCCTCTATCCACTGCGAACAAACCACACACAGTACCGCCAGGCACCAGTGCAGACAGCCATGACAAGAGATTATAGAGAGCATCGACAAAGCAAGCAAAAGCAGACGACATTCCGCATCACTCTCTCGAGAATCTCTCGAGCACGGGAAGAGGGAGAAAAATTGGGAAGAAGTTCACATCCGGATGCTGGGAAAAAAAGAATCAAAGCTTTGATAACGGGAGACGACGGGTTGAAGGACTGGAGAACCGTCAGTGGTGCGAAACAGGAACCTTTTATGAGACCCGGAATCCCCCCGTCAGAGGACGAAATCGGGGATCGACGAAACTGAAGTGAAGTGCGATCCGCGACGAGAAGAGCGACGGCGCCAGTAGGCAGTGATCTCAAATTCGGAGATCAATCGGATTTGATCGCGACGATTTACGATGGTCTCAATTCTATTTATGTTAGATTATATCTCGAACTTTGGGTTCGTGCTAAATCCAATCCGAAATCCGTAATATTGAGAACGATTTTTACTGGAGAAATCATCGCTGATCAGATGCGAGGATAGGAATCCCACGTTTTCTTATCTTTGATTGAATTTCCTTCCTTGAAGGGCCTCTCATAACTGCACACAAAGATTTGACCGGTTTTGGCTGCTAGGACTCTTCCTTTTTGTAGTGCGTACAGAGTGCGTGCGACGGCGGGGGGGGGGCTCTCATGTTATTGTGGGGTCAGTGCCCCTTAATTCGCTTGGTAAGGTGCAACCGTGCAAAGAGCCAGATTGGAGCCAACTCCTTTCTTTTTCCCTAATAAAGAATTAAATGAATTCATTTAGTGTATGCATAGGTTTTTATATTAAATGAATTCATGACGCAGCCGCACACTTGAATCATCTTAACGTGGGCTTTTAGTCACACGTGCAAACAAAAAATCGGAAAGTTCTTTATGGTGGGTCAGGTTTCTCAACTCATTGAATTGCATCTTTATTGAAACACTGATCACAAGTGTTGAACTAATAGTTTGGTGCTCAAGGTATTGGTTGGAGATAATATGGGTGGCCGTGGCTCCCAAATCTTGCAAACTGATTTTTTCCTTAAGCTAGCTCCAGCTGACATACTAGGTTTGTCGCAATGCCACTAAATATAATCAACTCTAAGTGTAGGAAAGAAAACTTAGTATAGGCACAGACTTAGTTCAATCTCTATCAATGCTCGCTTAGATATTGTTCCAGGAAAGTGGTGCCTGAGATGCCTGTCAGTCAGCATAAGACTGGCTCTATCCGCAAACACATTGGCGGTCCCGAAATCAAAACACATTCTATGAACCGACCAAAGTTTGTTGTTGCTTGCGTTAATAGTTACAGGGAACTCAAAACAGCCAAACGCCTTTTCTAGCAGTATGAGCTATGAAAATCAGCAAAAAGTAGAAGATGAACCCGAAGCTAAGGCAGACTTAAGCATACCTGTGGCTCGAGGCATGCTCAAGTCCTGAGTGAGGAACTAATAGCCTGATCACGTAGGAATTGGCCTAGTGAAATATGCACTATGGGAACTTTGATGGACAAACACTGGCTTCCTCTTACATTTGGCACCCACAAGATGATGGCTCATAAACCTATACATTCATCATCTACTTAAAACAAGACAACAGGGTGTTTTAGCTCTCACAAAATGGTCATACATCGACTACAGCATACTTGATGGTAAATAGCCAAATACAAGAAAGAAAAATTTTTCAATAACACTTTTTTCAGGAGCACCAAACAGTTCTTCACAAGATACATGACAATACTTAAAACTTGCGAGAAATCAGCATTAGTTCCATAATATAAGGGGGCACCAGCTTTATAAGTTTCATAACATCGAACATTACTCGAATGCTGTCTATACAGAGCTTGGAATACTTAACACGACACATGACCAGGCACATATACAAATTGCAAAACATTAATTACCACATGAACAGTTAAGTTGCACGCCTTTGGATCTCTCTGTCATCCCACGAGTTCACTAGCAAATTCAGAATAACATCCCATAACATATAAGGTTTCACAAGAAATGACGATTAAACCATGCCGAATTTGTTGAGGACTCCTTAGAAGCTTCAAGTAACGAAACTTCATTATTAGAGAGTTCTCCCTAGTCAGATGTCTCACGTTCTTCTCCTCCTGTTCTTCCGCTGAAGGGAAACAAGACTACATCAATTATGCTATGTATTGATAGAGGTGATTAATTAGAAAGGAAAAGAAATTACTCAAATAATAACGACAGAAAAAGAAGGAAAAGAAAATATAGGCATTAAGTTATGATAATTTGTGGATGCTAACAAGAGCAAAGAATATAAAATAATGTATTATGACTTGAATGTCATTTTATGCAGCTATAATTTGAAATAAGGGTGTTCAGAGGAAAGAAGATATCACCATAAGGGTCGAATTCCATTATGCGACAATCCAGGAGTTGGAATCATCGTTGTGTCATTGAATTAGGATTGACTGGATTTCGATTATTAAGAGATGGACGCTTGATCAAACTATGCAACCGGGACTCCAATGTGCCTAAATTCATATACTCATCCTGCATAATTGTAATATTAAAGTAGCAAAAGAATGTCAAGTCCTATTCACCAAAAAAAGAAAAGGAAATACTGATAATGACATGAAAAAACAGGTGAAATTAGGCAAGAGAAATGATAAGATTATTGGCTTTTGTGGATGTAAAATGTAAAACCCCACAAAAAAAACCCAATAAAGGGCAATCATAAGCCGCCTTTTGTACTTTTACAAAGAAGAAGTGGAGAGAAATGATGAGGATGGGAAGACCTTCGAGTGAGAAGATTTGAAGAGACCGTCTTCTAGGCGTTTAACGATATCCTTCAGCTTCTGCATTTGAGAGTCATTAATTGGCTGATGATGCCGCTGTGCTAAGAGAACAAAGCTGAAAAGGACAGTAAAAAGTTCAATCAGCAAACAAGGACCTATGGAGCTGTGGAGGTTAAAAGCACAAGAAGAACAAGTGCTCCAGATTAGATTACATCTTCTCTTGCATATAGCTCCGAGCTCTGAGAAGATCCGTGTCCGTGCCGAACGCAGCAGGAGGGACACCACCGCCTGCAGCTACTATATCCGGGACAGCATTCCCATTTTGGTGGGACACCCCAGGCAACTGAGCGCCCGATTGACTAGATACATGCCCCGACATATCTGCCTCTACATTCATCAAATCAATTTACAAAAAGATCTCGCTCACCCTTCCTGTGATCGTTCAAAACTCGCAAAGGGTCTACGCATGCCCGAGCTGGTGCTCACATACATATTAATTAAAAAAAAACCTTTATCCACAGCGAACAAACCACACCCAGAACCGCCAGGCACTAGTGCAGACAGCCATGACAAGAGATTATAGAGAGCATCGACAAAGCAAGCAAAAGCAGACGACATTCAACATCACTCTCTCGAGAATCTCTCGAGCACGGGAAGAGGGAGAGAATCGGGAAAAAAATTCACATCCGGATGCTGAAAAAAAATCAAAGCTTCTGATAACGGGAGGCAGATCGAAGGACTGGAGAACCGTCGTGGTGCGAAACAGGAACCTTATAAGACACGGAATCCGCCCCCCCGTAGCAAGAGAAACAAAACGCTAGAGAGGACGAAATCGGGGACCGACGAACCTGAAGCGATGTGCGATCGGCGACGAGAAGAGCAACGGAGCAGTAGGCAGTGATCTCCAATTCGTAGATCAATCGGATTGATCGGGACGATCGACGATCGTCTCAATTTGAGCCCGTGAGAAATCCAACCCTTATCCGTAGTAGTGACTCTGCTTGGACTCTTCTACCTTTTGTATTGCGTACAGAGTACGCACGAAGGAGGAGGGGCTCATATGTAATTGCTTAGTAAGGTACAAGAGCTAGACAATAGTATCACATGTACGGTGTACGACTCGTGCGCTCTCTAATAAGCATAGCAAAATTCAAAGAGCGAGAAGAATTAGCATCACAAGATAAGACAGATAAAAAAAAATTACAAGACCTAGAATGTAGCCCCTAAAAAAGAATTAAATGAATTGAATTAGTGCATGTATAGCTTTTTATATTGATTGTTTAGTCGGTCCTTGACCGATTCAGAAATCAACTACACGTTTGGCTAAATTTTTCCTGGGGGAGAAAAAAAAAACATTATAGAGTCAACTGCATCAATTATTGGAGTTATACTTTTAGCGCATGATAAAGCAGCAGCTGACTTGAACTTATTTCCCGAGTTATTTGAGTTTTCTTCAAATTGACAAATCATCTATTGATGTCTATTGATTCAAGATCATCTTAATGTGGGCTTCGAGTCACACATGCAGACACAAATCAAAAAGTTCTTTATGGAGGGCCAAGTGCCGCAGCTTGTTCAATTAGATCTTTCCTTAGACATTGATCTCGAGTGCTGAATTAATATAGTTCGGTGCTTGAAGTATTGGTTGGAAATAATACAAATGGATGTGGCTCCCAGATCTCGTAAACTGATCTTTTAACTAGTGTCGCAGCTCGTTGAATTAGTTTCACGCCTTTAGATCTCTCTGTCATCCCACGAATTCACTAGCAAATTCAATATAACATCCCATAACATATAAGGTTTCACAAGAAATGACGATTAAACCATGCCGAATTTGTTGAGGACTCCTTAGAAGCTTCAAGTAACGAAACTTCATTATTAGAGAGTTCTCCCTAAAAAGATGTCTCGTGTTCTTCCCCTCTTGTTCTTCCACTGAATGGAAACAAGACTAGATCAATTATGCTATGTATTCATAGTGGCGATTAATTAGAAAGAAATAGAAATTACATAAATAATCATGAGAAAAAATAAGACAAAGGAAATAGAGGCATTAAGTTATAATATTGTTTGGATGCTACCCAGAGAACAAAATAATTTATTATGATTTAAATGTCTTTTTATGTAGCAAAATATTGATTTAAGATAAGCGTATTTGGAGGAAAGAAGAAACAATTGTCAAATAATAAAAAAGTGTGTCCATGGGAGAGTGTGTGTGTGTGTGTGTGGGAGGGCAGCAAGTGCAGCTAGAACTTCCCTATTATTGCGATATTCTTTCAGATGGGCCAACTTTTTACACAGAAACACTATATGCCACAGAAATTTAAAATACTATTCAAATTTCACTTATTGACTTCTCTGAAATCGTTAACATTTTCTATCAATTAATATCATTTAATAATTGATGATTAATGATGTACGGTACAATCTTATACCATACAAATGTCTGTCAGATAGACTTTACTTGTAATGTTCGGATTGTCGGATGAAAATACGAGTAAAATAATATTTATGCAATTTCTATAAATAAGAGATCTTTTTCTTCCTAACTCCTCGAGTTTTGTGCTCCCACTACTATAAACGTTTTCATTTTGGCTTTTTTTTTCCTGACCCTCTTATCGATGTGATCATTCTTTTCTCGTTACTGGAAGGACCAAATCCTCTTAGCCCAAATTGACCTATTCATGAGCTAGCTCAAATTAAAGAGGACCCTAATATTTTAACTAGTTGAGCCTTAATAAAAAGATATTTCAGCCCAATTATTATATTGAAATTCTAGGAAAGAGAAAACTTGAAGTATTGTAATTTATTATTGAACTCTGATATAACTAAACATCGAATGAAATTGCATTATCAGATAAATCTTCCTAACATGAAGTCTAGTGCTCATCGTCTTCTTCTTCTCCACCGTATGAGAAAAAGTTATAGATGAAATTTCTTAGAAAGTGAAAATGCTAAGACATCCTTGAAAATGCTAATTACTCAGTAATTTGTTATTTACCTCTAGGCAACCTCCAAGATCTTCCTTGCTATCTTCCTGCAATCAAAAGGTTTGAATTAATTAGGCATCCAATTCCAAAAAACGCACCAATTTTACTTTGAATGACAATTATAGCCCGAATTTTTTTTTGTCTCATAAAAAATCACTAACTTTTACTTAAATATCAAATCTGGCCCAAATATTTTGAAAATTTTACATCACAGTGGCTAAATTTGGGACTCGAGTAAAAGTTGATACTTTTTATTGAGACAAAAAAAATCGGGCCAGAATTATCACTTAAAGTAAAGTTTGTGTTTTTTTATGGAATTAGCCCCTTAATTAGGGTGCCGAAAATGATTGAGCAGTAATTATGTCACATACATATGATGTAATTGACTAGATAAAAATTACATCATAACCGATGAATTATTTAATAAGTTTATGATTAAAAATTATGTGACTTAATATTAATGTATTATTAAATTATTATGATTATGATATAAACTCAAGGATTTAGGAACAACTTCAACAAATGAATTAGCGAACATCGATATTTAATATGATTTAACTCATATTAGTAATTCATCTCCCGCCATAACTATTTAAGCTCTTGAAAGCGGGATCGCTCTCGCAGCTCTCGAAATCCCTGGAAGATCTTCTTCTTCTTCCGCATTCCCCAAATGCAGAAACCGCCATGGATGAAGCTCCGGCGAAATGGAACGTTACCTTCACGAAGCACCTCAAGCAGAAGAAGCGCAAGTCCTGTCGCCACGGCTTCCTCTCTCTCCACTCCTCCACCGCCAAGGTGCGTTCCCTCTCCCTCACGACTGATCTCCGCCATTCATGTCCTACCCGACTCCATCAGCAAATTTTAGTTTCCTTGCATTGGGCTCGGACGTTTTGATTGGCCAGTCTATGTCTAAGATGCAGTGGCGATCGATTTTTTACCCTTTTTTATCCGAATTTTGCTCACTCGGTTGAACAAAATAGCAAGCAACAGCTCGATGCTGCTTAGGATTTCGATTTTGACTATCATCGCGGATAGTTCTGCTCTGTGCTTTTGGTCGTTATCCTCTCCGGGGTTGGGCTTGTTATGAGCAGATTAGTTCATTCCGTGATTGATGGTTGGATGATTTGACAGGTAATGCTGTATGATGACGGCGAGCAGCTGTTGGAATGCAGGATTTTGAAGAATGATGAAGTTGTTTGTTCTGGTGAGACAATGACCTTCAACGCTTATTTGGTTGATGTTGGAGAGCCTGAAGGAGGGCCAAAGCCTCTTGATGATGCTTATACTTGCAGCCGAGAAAAGAAAGTTCCTAAGGGAAGAGCTTCCCTTCACAGAAACACGTTTGTCAAAGTATCTGATTCCGCCGGTATTGTCTGCCCTTCACATAAACAAGTTCGTCAAAGTATCTGATTCCACCGGTATATATTGTATGTTCTTACATATTTGTTTTTCTTCATGCTGGTGTCTCCATTGGTTTGAAATTTGACAACTCATACTCGTACACTCGCAATGTTGTGCTCATCTACCTGTATTATCATATAATCCACTTGGCTTACTTTTTAAGGAGATGTGAAGACCAAAGTGGAAAAGGGTAAACAGCAGACGATCGACCTAAGCCCATCGCAGAAAATTATAAAAGGTTGGCGATGATATCCTACATAATCTTACTCTCTCTTAACTGCAAGTAAATGCTGGCTACAAAACTTAGCATGCGTTTTATTTTGTTTTTTGATTCCCAGAATTCAAGAAGAATGAAATGAACAAGTACGGCATATTGCAGGCAAGTCCAAACTCAAGGACATCGAGTACAACAGGCGAGTTTGGACTTTTGCTGACTCATCTATGCCCATACCAGGCTGTGTCTTTCTCTTGATGTATGTCTTTGATTGTGAATCCGTTCTTGATTTTCTTTGGGGTACTGTTTCTACACATCTTTAATTCTCCCGACTCTGATGCTTTGTATATCAAATCTTCTCAATCCCAGTGGTTCTATATATTTTCATGGCTTCTATTGAAATCACTGGAGCTTCTTACCATGTATCCAAATTTCCCTAAGAAAACTGGTCTCAAAATTCTCTATGCAGTTATATTCAAGAGTTTGTTATTGATGTCTCAGCACTGCAGTTGACATGATATTCCTTTTGATATAGATTGGCACGCCTTGGAGACAACACACTTAACTCAAAAGTTGAAAAAATATCATGATGGCTTCTTTCGTTGTACAAGCAGTGGATCTATGACTAGGCAGGTCATACAGTCTACATCTACTGTGGATTTTTACCGTTCGATAATACCAGCTATCTCATTGCCGAATTAAATTTCAGCTCTTGCTTCCTTTATTAGTTGGTTTTCTTCTTCATGATGTATACCTTTCTCAGCAGATTAGTGAAAATTTTGTCAGGATAAATATGGCTCAGATGATTGAAACCTTATTTGGATTTTTTACCAGGTTTTCTTGTATGATACAAGCTAGAAACTTTTAGATAGCAGGGTCTGAACAAAGCTGAAGAAGTAAGCTCTGGGGAGATGATGGAATTTCCTGGTCATTTGGTTGAAGTTGGCAATCGTGAAGCAAACCATGAATCTTTGAGTGATCTAAAAGCATCTGGAAAAGGCTTCAATTCGCTTCACAAATTAAATATTCAGAAGCAGCAGCATAACGTCACTACCATTAAATCTGCTGTAAAAGGTACCTGGAATACAGTTCAATTTGATCCATTCCATGGTGTTGTATAATTTTTTTTTTCCTGTTTAGTCTTTCTATGGAGGTAATTTGCCTCCCCCTGGCCTACAGTCTTGAATTGCCAATAGATTGTCAACATTTTCTCCCTGATTGTTTATATTTCCCTCAGGTGCTCTGCAATTGATGTAATTGCAGGACACTCCATACTCACCAAAATGATATTTCAACACAATGTGATTCGGAGCTTTAAGGACACAAGTTCAAAGGATGTTCATAAAATGTGGGACAATTTCCAAAAATTCTTTAACTTGCAGATGCCAAGAGTCAATTCTTTGTTTTTGTTTCTAGTTAAAACTTTCTTCATTGACTAGATAAGAGATATGACAATTGAAAATCATCATTGTTATTCATATGATCTCTTCCTTTTCAGTTAAGGAGGATGATACCTTCTCTTCATGTTTTGGATGATCTACAATAATGACTTGAATCTGATTGTGATGCACTGAAAGATGTACTCATTACTCCTCTTTCAGAAGAAAAAACTGGCCAAACTCACAATTTTCTGCTTGATGAACTGTAAGGAAACTTTTGTACTTGTCATGGGCAAAACTCTCTACTGCGTAACCAGATGGATTCTTGAAATAGCTTAGATACAACAGATTTCCAACTTGAGTTCAAAGGATAAAATGTATGATGTGTAAAAGCTTCACCAAATATAAAACCATCTATTGAGGTTTCGGCATTGTGCTTCGGAGGTGGACAATGTGTGTCTGTGCGTTTTGAAAGTCCAGAATTCGCCTTGTCAGGTTATGTTCTTGACATTGTCCTAGCTTTAGCACCATGATTTGGGTGAAGAATGAATCATAATTAAGCGAACCTCATGGAAAAGAGGAGGGCAATGAACCAAGTATATGGATTCCTCAGCATATCCCTTTATAGTTTTTACATTTTCCAATGAAGTTTTCACTAACTAGCAGATTGTTCCTTCTACATCCTGATAGATTTCTACATGGGTAGGTATGTATTGCTGTGTATTTACTGCCTACATTTAGCTTGAGGTTATTGAAATAACGAAATCAATAACAAGTTCATTATTATTCTCCAGTCATTTTCAATACTCATGAGCATGTGAATATTCCTTTTTGGGGGCTGTGTTCTCCCGTTGTTGTGTGTTAGTTTAACTGAGCATGTCCCGCTTGGAGATTAACATTTTCCTGTCATGTAGAATGGTAGGTTTTGTACACAACCCAAGTAACTCAAGAGGCCAAGAAATACCACGATGGTTTTTTGCAGCTTGAAGTTTGCGGATCCTTAGGGAGGCTGGTCATTCCAAAGCACTTTCAAGGACGTTTTCATCCTTAAGCCACTGTTTTTTTTCTGGCCACTTTGTTTGCTGATCCAACATGAATCACTTCTGCTTTTTTGGATAGTGGTTCATTATGTGCCCCAACTATCACACTAATTCAAGTGCATTTCACTACCCAAAAAAGTTCAAAGGCTTTTCACACCCATTATTTATAGTTCCTGGAATTACTTTTCTGCTCATTGTTTTCTTCCCCTTGGATCATTCAGGTCACACTGTACGATGCTAGCAGGAAAGTCTTGGTGAATAAATTTCTTAGGAAAGATGAAGTGTTGGGAACTGGAAAATCGCTGGTATTTGATTCTGACTTGGTTGATATTGGGGAGCATGTAGTAAAAGAAAAGGTACCAATGGGTTTGAATGATCGTGAACCACGTCACGCCGCTGGAGAAATGGGGACAGGCCATGGGGAGGTGGATGGTGCTAAAGTTGATCAATCAATCCTGGGAGGTTTGCAGCATTATTGATTCATCCAATGCTATTCAGATGTTTCAATAACTTTATTGTATTCGGTTGTAGTTTTCCTTAATGCATCCTGTTTGTCTAGCTATATCCTAGTGAATTATTGAAGAGGTTATTTAGGTGGAACTGTGGGTATTAAGATAGAGTTGTAAATGAATATGTTGAAAGAACATGTTAGGAGAAAGTTGCTACCTCCCTAACCAAGTAGGGGCACTTATATGAGGAGGATTGTTCACCTGATATGGTCACCTCAAGATGATTCAGAATTGGAGCATCTAATTCTTTCTTCCATAGATATCAATTCTATGTGCCTCAATTATTTGATGCCTAACGCTTTATCTTTGGATAATACAATACTCTGGCATGAACATGGAGACAAAACTTCAGGGAAGGTTCATCCAGCGAGAGATTCAGATTCAAACAGTGGAATATCTGGTTTGAAAAGCAAAGATTGCATCAGGAGAGTTCCCAAGACCAAGCCTCTCCATGATGGTGATTACTCTATGTAGAAATTTCTCTTTATGAGAATTGTCTTGTGCCTTTTGATGTTACTATCTTTCGCATGTGTAGTTAGACTTAGGCACAATGAAATTTTATGTTATTCAGGTGCGTCAAGTAATTTACAGTAAGCTTTGTAAAGCCCGCAAAATGGATAGATTGTTTCACGGACCTGCTCTAGAAAGAGAATGTCATGCAATTAAGCTTGGGATTGGTTTTATTGATTTTGATGGATCACTCACTTCATTTTGCTTTTCCTATAAAGTTAACTCTCTTATTTATTGGAGGAACCTGTTGTGTTACTTACTCCAGCTTGCAAATGATCTCTTGTAATCCAATCGATGCAGCCTATCAAATGTTATCTGTCCTCCGAAAACCATTAGATCAAGTTGCCATTGCCAAAATACATATGAAAGTAAGGCAACTTTTGCTTCACTAACAAAGGAGCTTCAAGATTCAGATAAGTTTTGTAATGGTACTCAAGGACAGCGCCAGCTGCTGAACTAGCTTCAGTTTAATGTTAGTGTTAGCTTTCTCGCATTATATGTTTCCTCATCTGTCAATGTAAAATATCATCAAACTCAGCCTCTGATTTCAATGAATTTCACTATACAAGGGGCTTTGCAATTGGCAACTCACAGGCATCTCACGGCTACTTGTCCTACTCTTTTTACGGTAATCGATTCTTTCAGCTCTATTTTGACCTGTCTGTGGCAAGGCTGTGACTCTAAGCATCTTGAATTTCCATAAGAGCTTAATGAGTTTTGATGTTTGTTGAAACTCATTGGTCCAAACTACTGGACAAGCTGAATTAAATTAGCAGCAGATAGCAACTGCTTATAAGGAATTTTCAAACTAGGTGCAAGAGGGACCTGCTTGAATTCTCTAATACATCCCAGTCCAAAATTTTGTTCTTTATTTACCTCGAGGACATTCTCAATTTCGCTGAGCTTTTGTATGACTAGCATGTACATCTGCTGCAATTAACAGTTTCAGCCCTCTCGGGAACAAGCTGAACCCAAATGCTGCAGCAACAATCTTGTTTTCGAAGCATCTCTTTCACGCGGTTCTCATGGCTATGCTAATGATGAAAGGATGACCCCTGAAGGAGATGGAGATCCATTGAAAGTGAAGGCTGAGTGTCCAAGTTTTGATCTTGGATTTTGAACCATATCCATTGCACAATCAACTATATTGCTACTGTCAATAATCTGGATGGAGCGCGCAAGAATCTTGTGCCTATCACACAAGAAATCTGTACAGTTGAGCTCTTGTTTTTATGTGGAGAGTTCTAGTGCCAAGTTCATTTGCAGTTGTCTGATCTGAAACATTTTTAGTTATACGACATCATTTCCAGTGATCTTCAACATATTGAGGTACAGTTATGATGCAAAAAACTGAGATATGGGTCTATCCAGTTTCCTTTACCCTCCTGTTCTTCTTAGTAATCGTCCAAGAACTTGTATAACTTGTTGTCCTTTCTCAACTTCCGCATGCTAAGCAAGGCCTTTAAGAGACGTTTGTTTTTGCTGGAATATACCTCGATATCTGTTCTTCTGCTCCTCTCAACATGAGTAGACATTGAAGTGGATCTTCGGGGTTCCGATGGGTACTGGATGTTCATGTGGGCATATAAGAGAATCGTTCATAAGAGATCATGTCCGCAAGACATGTCCAACAAAAAATAAAACTTAATAGCCAAGCTGCACTGAATATCATTGATGCTTAACTCATCTTTTGGCATTAGAAGGGTTTGGAGATGTAGATCTATTGACCAGAGAACCTGAACATGTGAATTGAAATTGAAATGGGGAGGCGCGTTTTTCTGATTAGAAAAAGTGCGGCTTGCATTAGGAGCTTGTCTGACTACACGACATATAATACAATCACAAGGTATGAAAACATAACGTAAACGCTAGGTATGGCAATCTGGAGCATTCAAGTCGAGTGCACTGACCTGGTTTTTTGTTGGATGAAGTGCTTGCAAATGGAAAGGTGCCGGCTGGGGAGGATTGTGGAAACTGTGTAGCCGAATGCCGTCTCCTGCATCAGTGTTCCACTGTCAGCATCGGGTCTTTTCGAAGCTAGGATGATTAGCACAGATTCTATCAGAAGTTACCTGACAAATGATATAGAAGTCTCTACAGTTTTTGGATGTATGTCTTCGGAAAGAAATAAAGTTATTAGTACGTCAGTAGTAGCATTTGACATTCTGCTTTTTGATGGAATAAGTTGAACACATGCAAATGATGAGCTAGATATCAGCTAGTTCTATGACTCGTCAACTTTTTACATCTAATAGCTTGTTCCGTGCAATTAGCATAGTGGTAGCTAAACCAGAAAAAGAGTCATACCATGTTCACCTGCGGACATTTCGGCATTTACTCCACTTGTCATGTGGTATCGCAGATTCTTGCTGGCTCCACCGTCTTTAGCTGTTGAAACTGAAAGAAAGTTCTTAAGCATGAGCCTATTCCTAACTCTTGGTCTTAATAAACCGATGACAAATCTTGTAAAGGGAAGCGTGCCTGGTAAGATATATCGCATGTGGTGCTTTGGAGTTCTTATCACTAGTGACCGCTGAGATAGGCCTCCACGGTCTATGAACATCTCACACATTCGTAGTCTCTAAAACACAAAAACAGGGTTGAAAGTGATAAATAAATCGACAGTATGAGAGATAGTTGTTCTCTATGCCATCTTCCATATTATTGTTGAAGCAGGATATGTTCTGCTATTTAGAGTATCTTTTGCTCTTCGAATTAGTTTGTTGCAATGTAATATGATCGCACACGTTGTGGAGTTTATCTAAAGTAATTTCAGATTTCCAAGAACTTAATTCTTCTTGGTAAATTGCAATTTGTTAGACCCTGCACATGGTAAATCAGAGGGCATGCAAGCCCTTCCCATCCTTAATCCTATAAAACAAGGAAAACCTAATTATATAGCACCTGTCGAACACAAGAGAATCTGAGCTCAATTGCAGATGCTTCCTCAATCTTGTCTTCCAGGAGACACTTGACCTTATAAATCATGGAGCCCAAGTGATCCACAGTGTTGATGAAAACTTTCGTTGCATAATCTCTCAGTGTCTTCACCACCCTACAGTATTGTCAAGGCCAGTATAGAGATGTGCAACAGAAATAAATGCCCAAGCCGGTACACTATAATGAAATGAAAACATATGTATCTCACGTTTGTTTTTGATCGTGTCTATTGTAAGACAATTCAAAAGAATCAGCTGCCGAGTATAACTGCTTCCTAAGATCTTTCAGGTCCTGATTAGTGAAAAAGACGACAATTAGCATGCATGACAAATCCAAACCTTTTCACCCTGAAATTCGAACATGATGAAGATCAGATCATGAGGAATTTGATCATCTAACAAGCGAAAAAAGTAGAGGAAAGTAACTGGCTCGTGAACACAGACAAGTATGAAAATGGATAAATGTGATCATAAAGGAACATCAATCGAATTTCAAGGTAAACCTAGAAAAAGTAACTAGTAGTTATGTTCCGAAGAAAACTCCAGGTGTGCGTGTGCGTGTGTTTATATAAGTACCTTCAGACTATCTGAAAAGTTCAAGCTCTGTTTCATGGAGAGCTCATCATAATGCGAAGCTTCCTGAGGAGCGGAAACTGAAGAAGGCAACTGAGAAGCATCCATTGTACCAAAGTTTTAGAGTATCTTCACCTGTTACTATGAAGATGAAGCAATCAGATTCAAATTCACACCCTCGTGCCCTGACTGTTGTTATCCATTTCCAAGACACGTCTTGTCCTAGTTCTATTTTCCTTCTAACCGAGAGAACATTTTCCTTCTCTATTATCTTTCACCGTCCGGCCAAATCATGAAAACGTAATTTCTTCTTCTTGATGTTCTTACCTTATTCTTATCTCAACCATTTTCTACCAACAAAGCCGAGGCTAAAATCCTGAGATATTGCAAAACTCAGAGCTCTTCATGTGACGATGACGACAGTTATTGCCAAGGCAAGCAAACTTTTCTTGTTGTTTTGTCAAGTCACGGATCACATAGAGCATTGCCAAACCGCAAGTCCAAAAAGAACTAGAGAAAAAATCTCAGTAGGAGAGCAAAAAGCACATGTAACGAATATGAAGCTGACGTTACCTGCTCTTTTCCCTTTTTGTCTACAACGACAAAGTCCCGAGCCCAGTTTCAGCTCACTAACATTCCTCGGCAAGGAAATTAAAGAAAGATATACAAAATGGCATAACCAGAATTAGTGATCTTCAACTTAGATATTCAGAGAGAGAGAGAGAGAGAGAGAGAGAGATCAGAAAAATCATCTTGCAGAGATGTGTCATCACCAAATGCCATAGTGAGGCAGTGATGACTCTTGCTAAAGATGGCTATAGATAATTGTTTGCGCAATTTGTGCCTTTCGCTTCTGTCACAAGCTTGTTTTGAGTGTCTCTGTTGGGGAGAGTAATAATTGGGATATGATGAAGGCTACACTGTACTAACAAGGACAAGAAAGGCACTGGGTTTTTTGGGAATAAGTCCTGAAAGCAACGCAGACCCAAACAGAAAACTACCAAAGTGAAACATCCAATTGCAGTAAAATCCCAATAATTCGTCTGTCTTTGCCCATAATTCTCTCATGTGTGAGCATTTTCTTCCATCTAATAGTCTAAGGTTTTACATATCCAGCATAAAAGGTAGATTTCCGCCGATCCAATGGCCGCTCCCGTTCATTTGGCTCGGGAGTTATCTCATCCCTCGATATCTACACGCGGTGTGACGTGAGAGGAGGTTTTACAAGTTATTCTTATGTGAAGATCAAGTATAATATCTATCTATTCTTGATTGTGGGTAATACAATCATTTTCACTCACTCTCATCTATCGAAAACACAAACCTCCTTCTTGTGTGAAAGATGCCGTGTCGGTTTGGCATTTGGTACTACACAGAAGTCAATCCTCAACAGAGCCGACATACATCCGCTGTCTGTTGCTGTTAGCTCGAGTTTTCATCAATTGAGGCCCACTACATTAAGATACAATGGACTTTTTTAGGAAGTCAGGTGATGTGGGGCTTACACATTCAATTCAGCAACTGAATGACATTTCATCTTTCTCACCATAAACCAACTCTAGCTTATGTCGTACATCTTCTCTACAGGTCTCAAGCATTCGCTGGTGGTCGACTGTGCATGCAAATCCAATGAAAGTGCGGTTTTGCAAAAGATCCTGTCAACCCAATTCGAAGTGAGGTGGCAAAATCTTTGCACTCGTCAACTTTTTATTAATATCGTCACCTTGAAGATCGAGCAAGACTACATGGAAAGATGGAAACAAAACGTGCCCTGTGGAGCAGAAGCGCCTACTTGAAATGAAACAAGAAAAGCCAACGATAATTTGAAAAATGATGGAATAAACAAGAAAATAAGTCTTAAGAAATTGGAAACATTTGGGGGGTTGGGAATTCCTAATCGGACGTTTGTTATTACATCATCATATGATATGATGAGATTTGTCGATGATGATCACATACCAACAGCAAGGAGTCAATTTATCATAACACCATGATTTAGAAGAGGCGGACCATTAGTTATCAGAGAGGGGCAACGGCATTTAGCGACGATTTTACCATGCAAAGGCTACAACATGGATCATGCAAAACTCTACCAAATTGCACACCCCAGATTCATTGATTCTGCTCAGCCTTGAGAGCTTTATGAAGCAAATGTAGAAATCGAAATCACATGTTCACAGAGCTCAATCTGGAGTTTGGGAAAAAATAAAGGGAAAAGAAATTTCTAATATGATTTTCCTATGTCGTCTCTTCGGAATACCAACGATCAAGAGTAAGCACAGGAATACCAACAATCAAAAGTAAGCAAACGCCCGCAGCGGGTGACTATTTCAACCCACTGAACTAAAAATTGAACTGGACACAAGCATCCCTCGTTGGCCTTCCTACGCCAATGCTTTGCAACTCTTTGACCAACGAAGACAATTGATGTCACCAAGTGTGCATAGATTCGATTCTCCTATAACAAATTAAACCTAATTGTATCTAGGCCTATTCGTAGGGTTAGATATTTTAAGAGCGACGTATACATTCTTTATGTTGTCCATCTCCATGTGACAACACTGATTTTGGTTTCTGATTCTTCCAAGTAAGTAGGTAAGACAAGGAAAATATCCTACTAATCAAATGCAAAATTGTGGTCAACAATGAAATGGTTATGAGCACTAAAAATAAATATCAAATTTTTCGAAATGGGCAAGAGGGATGAGATGCCATTAGTACAAAATAACCAATCTTCAAAGTGTGCAAATATCAGTGCAAACCACCATGCACTGCAGTAGATCCTAAACAATCTGCTCCGGCTCTCTTGCGTAACTCAACGTCATACTAAGCTGCAGGGAAGGAATTTCCTTCGAAGATGCAGATTCTTGCGCTTTTGAAAATACACAAACCTGCTCTTAATCTGCCACTCGGGATGCTCCTGCAGTCCAACAGATAACATATGTAATTGGTCAGGCTCCACAATGTAGCTTTTACGTGGATAAATTCTTCCACATACTACGAAACACTTTTTCAAGCACGTGGCTTCATTACCGAGCACACCTTGCCAAGTTTGAACTCAGCAGAGTGACAACAAGTGCCAAATGACACATCGATGTGGTAAGTGTTAGTTTAACATCAGTCTGTGATTCCAAAAGAAGATAAACAATCATAATAGTTGAAGAGGACATAGATTAGCAACTTGATAAAAGAGATTTTATGAGACCCCTTCGAAGGTCTGAACTGATGGTGGAGCGGATATTATCTTTTTGACTTAATTGGTCAATCGAGAATACAATTCCAGGCAGAGAAAGCAAAAATCCTCTCATAATGTTTACCTCCTCGATATATACCGCAAGTTCTCGGTCACAGGAGAGCATCAACAATTGCCGAGCGTCACCAATTGGCATCATCATATTGTTTTCTTGCTACATCCAGCAATTTCATCGCTGTTGTTCAAATGGAAAGAGTAATGTAAGCACACATAAAAGAATCTTTTAAGTACATCCTGTAGCCTTACATGAAGGAGAGTAGGATACTGATAATAACAAAAAAAAAATGTAGGAGACTGGGATGTGCACAATAATGCACTGTTGTATTCCTCGTCATTGTGTGTCTATATACAAAGAAATCGATTGCACAACAGATTTATGTTACCCCCAGTTTCTACTCACATGCGCATTTCGTCAAACATCTGACCAGCACTATGGAAATGATCGAATCTTCTCTCCTCTCCTCGCCAAAGCAAGCTGCTTTCACGATGGCGTCTTCAACACCACAAGCGATGACCCTTATTTTCTTCCTATATGCCTCCCATCAGCTGTCTTCTGGAGAAGCATCGCATTGAATTCGCTCCACCTCCTCAGCGAGAACTTCGCAATCTTCCACGAGCAAAGTCGCGACGCATCTCGACAGCGAGCGAAACAAACAGATTTCCCCACTGAAGTCCTCAAGCCCACCCCCCTGACAACCCACAAGACAGTTGAGGCCACCCCTGACCACCCACATCAATATCTCTCTATCTCACATCCTCTTCTGAAGCTCATCCTCTATTTCTAGGTAACTGTCGTAGGTGTGGACTCCTCGAGGTACAGCCTTTTTCAATCCGGGACATCCGCTGATCCCTAATCGAGAAAGATGAGGCATGGCTCCTTCAGCCACCCTCCACTCCTCCAAATTCTCCATATAATAAAGAACTAGATGCTTGAGTTGAGGAAAGCCTCCCGCAGAGCAAACCATTTCCTTCCCCATGAAAGCACGACTCCCCAGCATGAGAACAACCAAGTGCTGCAATCTCTCCAATATTGGCATCGGATCTTCTTCCAGTTCAGAGTCGAATAAGATCAGCTTCCTCAGCTGCTGGGGTAGATTCCTATGTTCCGGTAACTTCTCTATTTTATCTATTATCCACAGCTTACAGGAATATGGGTAGCTTGACATTTTACTCAATTCACCTTCAGTGAACGAGCTACGTCGGCTGACGAACACAAAAGATGAGGTTCGAAGATGTTTCAAAGCGAATTTAGCAAGTTGTGGCATTATCTCCAACTCCTTGCTACCAATGACGGTCAGTTTTTGCAAATTAGTCAGTTTGCCTATATCGTTCACATCGCAATTAAACGGCGTAAAGTTTCTCAGTGTCCGTAAATTCTTTAAAGTGTCAAGCCGCATCTTCTCCCACACTCCATGAGGTTTCCCCTTGACGAAAAAATCGAAGGGAAGGCGGAGAAACCTCAACCATCTCATCTTATGCAACACATTTGGCACGTTTACCTTAACATATGAAACCACACACAGGTCCAAAAATTCCATCCATATAAGGTTCCCTATAGATTGCGGCAAGTCCTTAAAATAACTTCCCGCTAAACTTAAGAATCTTAAATGGATTAGGTCTCCCACTGATTTAGGTAAATTTCCTATCATATTAGAAAGACCCTCCAGTTTCAGAATTCTGAGAAACTTACAGTTGATAAAAATTGGTTGAAATTGCTTCCACTTCCCTTGGACAAATCCGAAGAACATGAGAGTTCGAAGGTGGAGCATAGTCCTTTCTATTGGTTTTACGCTCGAAAACATGTTTCCTTCGGCACTCTCGTGCATATTGAGCGAAAGCCTTCGTATTTTGCAAGTTGACTCGACTTTTATTGCTGTCGAAGAAGAACAATCCTCCATCTCATTGTCTTGTCGAATGTTAAAAATGCTTAGAAAACTCTCTTGCGTAGCCTTAAAGATGCATAAGTCTCGCATCAGGTCATGAAGGTGGCAAGTTTTGATCTTTCCACTCAAGCTGAATCGTACTTGAACCATCCCCCTGTTAACCAACTCCGTTAAATATTGCTCTGCTATATCTTCCACTTGAATTTCTCTCTCTTTGTCATATGGATTCAGCGACACAAAGCCTTCAGCAATCCACATGTGAAGAATCTTTGTTGCGGGAATTTTTGCATCCTCCGGAAAGCTACCCAAATACAGGAAGCATGGCTTTAGATGCCATGGTAGATCGTCATAGCTAAAGGCCAACACTTTTGACACATCACTCTTCTCGCTAAAATGCAAATTGATCTTTTTGTAAACCGTCTCCCACTCGTTGACTGCCAGAAGTCCACCAAGCACAATGACAGCCAGGGGTAATCCTGCACACTTCTTAAGGAGTTCATCTCCTAACCTCTTCATGTCTTCAGTGATTACTGTACAGTATCAAGCGACAAATTGTAACTCAGCAGTCATAGGAAGATGCAACTGTCATAAAAAGATAATTTCAAGTACGAATGTATGCTTTTAGATATATAAGTAAGATGCTATAGCTCCTTATATTTCATGGTTCATTTATGCTTTTGCAAGGGGAAAGAATATAGGGACCATAACAAAGCTCCTATATATGCCTCCATCTACGCCTGGAAGATCAAGAACGCTAAATTTACAAATGAAACGTATCTTCTTTGTTATATGTGGCTTGAATTGAGTGATTCAAGCAAATGTATAACAACAATAATCCTACTTGATGAAGAAAAATGAAAGCAATCTGGGGATAACTCAAGTGTGCTAACAATCTCCTGTGGCTTGAGTGTGCTACTAATCTCATTCGCAAATTCTAGTGAAATATTCATGTTGCCCCTCTACTTTGTTGCATGAGGATTCACGATTTTCCTAACAATCTCAAATTTAATTGTTAAGCCAACTATTCACAAATGCAAAAAGGTGGACATGAGATGAAGCCTATGGAAGAAGTGACATAGCTAGGCTTCACATTATTTCATAAATCCTATCAAAATTGCTTATTTTCTGGTCCATATAAAAGCCACTTCGGTATTTATTCAGAGGAAAGGAGGAGCAAAGTTTTGGATGTTGGTATGGTATGGTTAGCTGTTAAGAAACAAAAGGGGCATTTGTTTACCCAAAAGTTGAAATTATGGTGCCTAATACTTGTATCGATTATTGTAACTCCAATGTAACTCTTGATTCATAAATTGCTAAAGCTTCCAAAAGGCCAAACTAAGCAATGAAGTACCTGGTATTTGTCCCTCCATCTCTGATTGTCTTGTGATACCTTCTACAGCTTGGCCCATAGCAATACCTTGACCAACTCCAGGTCCAATAGAAGAAAGTTCAATAGCTAATCCTACAATAATAACAAGGGAGCCATAAATCAAAATCAAATGGACAATATAATCTCTTGAACTATATGCGAGGATAATAAACTTAGAGAAACCTTACTTTTCGTTTTAGGAAACACCCTCTTCATCAGCAGCTCCCAACTCTCCTGCTTTGATAAGCACGGAGGTTCATGGAGAAAACCATGAGGATCGATATACTCCGCTACTTCTCTATTACGGGTCGTTATCAATAGCTTGCTTCTCGTGTTCTCGACTGGGAATGCGGCTCGAATACCGTCCCATGCCTGTTTGGTCCAAATATCGTCAAGAACCACAATACATCTCTTCTCTTTTTGGATCTTGTATAGAGTTTCGAACAATTCATCATCTCTCATTTGCATAACCTTCTCTCTTTGATCAGGGACTAACTTAACAAGAATTCCCACCAAGATATCTTTCATATGGTATTCTTGAGATACGCAAGCCCATGCGAAACCATCGAAATTGTTCTTCACTCCATCATGAGCGAAGACTTTCTTTGCGAGTGTTGTCTTACCCAAGCCACCCATTCCCCATATAGAAATAACTCTGTGTTGTCTTCCATTCTTCAGCCCTTTCACTAATACCTTAATACTATCTTCCATCCCAACAACATCCTCCTCGAAATGGGCATAAGTATGCCTCTGCGTCGAAGCCGTCGCCCATTCGCGATTGCCCTCATTCACTGATAGTATGCCATGATCCTGCATACTCGTTCTCAGATTGGAGATGCTGGATTTTAAGCCCTCAATCTCCGTCCCCACCACATGAGCCTGCACCCAGGTGCACTTCGCCACGAAGCAAGCATACGCTTTGATGATGTTTTGTCCTTTCTTTGGTGCTACTCTGAGGATGTATTGCTCGATGACATCCTCAGCATCATAGGCAATGTCACGGAGTTGCGCGACCCATTCTCCAACAACTTGTTCGCGCTCTTGTCTTGCGTCTGCATCCCTCAACAAGGCTTGAATCAGCCTCAGCTCCCTTTGCAGGTCCTTGACCTTGCCCTCCACGCCCCACAAGAATTTGGCCTCGTCGATGAGCAAGTTTCCTATTGCCTCCACTGCGAACGATACGACAGACTCGGCCATTGGTATTGCACTACTTGACTATGATAAGAGGAGCTTATGATAGAGAATGATTTGAGAATTCACTTTTCATGCGTTAACAAGCTCTGAACATATAGGCCTGCGAGTTGCGAAGAAGAGAGAAGAGGATTAAGTACTTAAAAAGTTCCATATTGCATTGATAATACATATTCTATATCAACCAATGCAATAAATTCACCCCAATAAAAAAAGAATGGAGTAATGGGGAAGTTTACAGGCATATATACTGTCTGCAGTAGAAGATATGTTCTATAGCTAGAGTTACAGATGTTCCAAGACATTAACACCGATGTGCAAATAGTTTCTTACTTATGATAGACAAAAGAAAATTTCAAAACCTACATTTATTATACCATGAGTCACATTATCGCACACAAAACGTGTTGAATGCACAAGTGAGTTGTGTTGAAAAAAGAAAAGTTTCCACATTGGATGTCTAGAGCTAAAAAAAGCAATTGATACCTAGCCATGATTCAATGGTTTAAGCTTTTGAGTAACTATAAATCCAGCTAGATTGTCAGTAGACTTAAGTTATGGCCTCCCTCTTGGATCTCCCCATTATGAAGGTGTTGGATTTATGCCGAGTTTCCCCCGACGAAATGGGATTAAAACATCCCGAAAGAGTTATGTCTTTAATCTAAGAAGGTAAAAATGCATTCTTGATCAAAGGGTGAATCATGATTTTGCCTGATGGTAATTATTAAATAAGATGCTTTCTTGTTAAAGGCTTGCTTGCAGTGAGTTCGTCTTAAAAGTACGGTGAAAAAAATCAGAGCAAAAGAGTTTGCCTCAAGAGATTGGCTAACATAGCCGCAAATCTTCAATAGGCATAGATATGCCTGTCCGTTGAACTTGTGTTCACTCACGTTGAGGTTTATTTGGTATTTTCTTCAAATTGTAATAAGCTGGCAATTATGTTTATTATTTTTTCTCTTGGAGTTGCAACCGGCATGGACTTTTTACTTTTTCTTTTCAAATTGCGACAAGAACCAGCACACCACAAAGACAAGGAGTCCCCAGGTTCTGGCCCGTTAAGAATCCTCCGATGCTTAAATTAGCGTGGGATTAGATAGTGGAAACCATGAAATTTGGAGAGGGGGAGAAAGCATACAGATTGGTGTTGCTCACTCCTGTATCTATACAGGAATAGGCGGGCGGGATGTGGGGTTTTAAGCTTTCGGCCTGAGCTTCCCTTAGGAAAGGCTTTCTCATGGCGGTTCTATTTGTGAACCTATGTTGATTATGGGCTCCTTCATAAGCAGTGGACCCAGTTAAATATGTTGTAATTAAAGCAAAATTTGTCAACAGATTACTCATAGTGAGATTGTCTTAAGAGTATGGGGGAAAAATCGGAACTAAAGTTTCTCATCACGAGTTTGCCTCAATGATGTTGTAATTGAGCAAAATCTACATATTAAGTTAGAATCATCTAATAAGCATGTAAACATTTTGATTAGAAGTAGCTACATTTCGATATAGCTTCTTATGATTGAAAACTCTAAATTATTTAGCTAAATTAGGTCTGTTTTGTATAAACTAGACGTTTTGCACATATATTACATGAATAAAATAGATGAAAAATGAAACAAAAATCAAATTATTTTATCTGAATATGTTTTTTATATGTGTTTATATTATCCTATTAATAAAGAATGTTTGCTTTTCATAAATTCAAAAAACGTAGTAGACGAAAAAAGAAGTTTAATTAGATCTATAGCCAGTGCAGGTATAGATTCGCATTACATGCGGAAAAACTCAATCATCTTGTTATCTTCATAGCGTTTAACAATTTTGTTACCCTCATGGTGGACTTAGCAATTATTCAAAAAGTTTTAGCTCAACTCAAGAGGATTTTAGGTCTAACTCCATACCTCACATTTCATAATTCAGCCCCGCCATACCTAGTAAAGCAATCAAACCCACTCTCGTAACTCTTAAAAACCCTAGAAATTCAAATCCCAAATGCACAACCATGGAAGCTATGAACTCAAATGGTGTGTTGCCTTCATAAAGCACCTGAAGCAGGACCGGAAGGTCTATCGCGACCACTTTCTCTCTCTCTCCATGCCTCCACTGTTAAGGTAGGTGCATTACTCACTAGTCACTCTCGCTACTTAATTGATAACAGAGCTTCTTCATGCCATCAAAAAGTTGCCTCAGTTGCTTCCTAGTCAATCCCTTCACTAATCTCACTCAATAAAAACATACATGTTTCAAGTGAAAAATGGATTTTTTTTTATCTTTCTCTTATAAGTAACTTTTCTGGCAAAAAAGTCGATACTTAATAAGGGAGAAGGAGCACTGACTTGACGAAAATGTTGAGACATACATCATAAAAGATCACCAAAGAAGCATTACTTGGGCTTACGGTCATACTAAAAGTTAGCAAGGCCGACTTGCTGGAAGCAAGTGAACCAGTATCTATGTCATTCAAACAACCCAAGAAAAACACGGAACCAAGCTCGATCCATATCTCCTAAAAGAACGTAAAAGTAAAGCATCAAAATTCTAAATCAACAAAATACCAATGCAATGACCCTGGCAATACCAAAAAAAAATTTAAACGCACAAAGACTAGAAAAAAAAGGGGTCAATTCAATTGGGAAAAGAGCCACTCACAAGCTTAATCACGGCTTTCTCGTTCTTCTGAAATATTAGTACCTGAAATTAATTCACGAAAAACTTCAATCAAAATTAAACTAAAAGCACAACAAATAAAGCAAAAAACAAGTATCAGTTTGCGAGCAGTCCCACCGAGGTAGATATCTCCGAAATCTTACGACCGAGCCGAAACTTATTTCTGGGATCAACCGGAAACAAACCTATACGAGAAAAGCCCATTTTTGAAGTTCCAAAGGAGATGGACAATCAATTGTTTGACACATCCATGTGGCAAGCAACTGACCTAATTTCGGAGATCGAATTTTAATAGAAGTTTGATCAGAACGAACTCTTACCGTGAGAGTATCCGGTGTTAGATAATATTGTAAGTGCTCTCGACTACTGGCCGCTGTTGGTCTTGAGCTAGAGTTGAAATAGGCTGTTTGAGAAAAGCTGCTATTTCATTTGGCCTGAGGAAGTGACATCGGGAATGAGAAAAATTTCCAATAATAATATTGGGTTTGGGTCAATGAGCTTAGGTAATGGCCCATGCTAATGGCGATAATTCCGGATCATATTTTTGGTTTCACATGGTTTCACATGGGCTAATAGCAATAGTTCAGCATCATATTTTTTTTAAGATTGATTTCACATGGACTGACAGTGGCACATGCTAATAGCGATAATTCCGGATCATATTTTTGGTTTCACATGGTTTCACATGGGCTAATAGCAATAGTTCAGTGTCATATTTTTTTTAAGATTGATTTCGGGTGGTTTCATGGACTAATAGCCGTAATTCACCATCATATTTTTCGTTTTATGTGACCTCAAAAGCAATCACATTTTCGTTTACTGTGCAGTCAAAAGGAATCATATCTTCATTCAATGTGCCCTCAAAAGAGGGTTTATTTATTTATTTATTTTTATGTTTTTTTTGAAAGAGGGTTTTCATATGGGCTAATCCTAATAGCAACTTTTTTGTTTCTTGTGGTGGGAAAACTAACCATAAAAAATATATATTATCTACTATAAGATTATCCCGGTCCATACCATCTAATAAACACACTGGAAAAATTATCCAAAAATTCATAAACCTATTGTACAGCGGCCAAATCAATCCTAAACTTTTCCATTATGTCAATTTAGTCCCAAATCTTTTGACAATTTGTCAATTTAGTCATAAACTTTTTGACGATTTGCTAATTTAGCCCTTCCAGTCAATTTTGGCCAGGAATCGATGACATGGCAGTCTAGTCAGTGCTGGCCATCCTACGTGGTATGACCGTCACTGACGTGGATAAATTTTTATAATTTTTTAAAATTTTCTAAATTTTTTTAATGTTTTGAATTTTTTTCTTTTCTTTCATTTTTCTCCCCTTCTTCCTCTACCAGTGGCCGGGCCTCGGCAGTAGCTGGCGACCGGCCACAGTTAGGGCCGGCGAGGCTCGACCTCGCCGGTCTTTGGCGAGCTAGCGAGGGTCAAGCCTTGCCGGCCCTTGGCGAGGCTGGCAACCTCGCCAATGGCTCTGCGAGGCTCAACCCTCGCTAGATTCAACAAGAGTCCAGCTCCCTTGGCGAGGCCAACCAGGCTCGACCCTCACCCGAAGCTGGCAAGATCGTAAGCCTCGCCAGCCGTCACCTGTGGCCAGTTGCCAGCCATTGCCAAGGCCCGATGACAAGCGGAGGAAGAAGGGAAATGATAAGAAGAAATTCAAAAAAAATTATATAAAATTCAAAAAATTAAAAAAAGTATAAAAAAAATTGATCACATTAGTGCCAACGCCGGCCATGCCACGTAAGACGGTCGGTGCCCACGTTAGGGATTTCAAACTAAAATTGACCGAAAGGACTAAACTGGCAAATCGTCAAAGATTTAGGACTAAATTGACAAATCGTGAAAATTTTTGTGACTAAATTGACACAATTGAAAGGTTTAAGACTAAATTGGCAAGTTGTGAAAAGGTTTAGGAATGAATTGACATAATTAAAAGATTTATGACTGAATTGACCGCCGTACAATAGGTTTAGGATTTTTTATACAATTTTCCCCACATACAAACCAATGGGATTCGTCCATGTTAATTAAATCAACTCCACAAAAATTAAGAGTAAGTTGCGATGATCGAACTGCTCATATAATTTGGATGCTCTATGTATTCACTTCTCTCATAACGACTCATCATGAAAATAATGAAAATTTTTTTTTAAAAAGAAAACCTCTTACTCGAAGATTTAGCAAAGTGCTTAAGTCATTTTGCAGTTAATTGATAGTTAGATGTTTTGACTCAAAAATATAAGTGCGGTGGGTTTCTACCATATCGTATTAGAAATTATAATCCAAAAGTTTAAAAGTAATTAGTTAGATGGAGGACGACCACATGTATATAATGCTCATTCAAAGCTTTATAAAAAAACGATTTTGAATACTTTAGCATGTGATTGCAACATGCAGTGTACTATTTTATACTAATGGAT